GGATTGAAATATACAATTAGATGTGATGGAATTACAACATCAGGAGCTCATTTAATCAAAGCATTTGGCGATGTAAGTTATCCATTTAATATATCGGTTGCGGCATACTTCTTTGCACATCATAAAATAAAACTCCAATATCCGTTTCATCAATGTGTTATAGTAAGAACTTGTACAAAAAATGGAATTTGCGAAAGATACTTCCCGCTTGAGCTTGTATGTTTTGCTCCTACATCACCTCCGTCACCCCCGTCAACAATAAGCGGTTTAACATTTACAGCACGGCAAACACATGCTGCTTCGTCTACATCAACGACTAGTCTAGATAGTATTCCAATATCCATAGAAGACCAACCATCTACACCCACTAATGGGAAATCTAGACCAGGGAAATTGTGGATTGAAATAGAAGGTAAACCCAATCAATGGGAAAAACGCAATATTTTGATTAATTAATTTAAAATTTTTATTAAATATTAAACAATTTATAAATTTACATAAAAAATGATCATTAATATCAAAAATAAAAAATTATTTTTAAAATTATTACAAATTTTTGAAAAAATCTATAATATTTGAAATGGGAGGTTCATATAAAAATCTCCATCTTGAATACATTATGTAATCTGTTCTATTATGTTTTCCAAATTTGAACTTGTTGTCCCAAAGGTCCCAACGTAGAATCCAACGCCCCATATTTTTTATTTCAACTTTTCTTGCTATATCGCTCTTCTTCAGATGAATGATGTCCTTTACAACCCATTTCATAAATAATGTTTCCCTTCCATCAGTGTTATTCAATGAACTATTGTTTAATTTACCGACTCGTCTGAATTCCTCTGATTTATTTATATCTCTGTTAGAAAATATTGGTGGCGGTGTTCTACGCCATATTGGTATTTCCACTGAATTATTTTTATCTCTGTTAGGAAATATTGGTGGCGGTGTTCTCCGCCATATTGGTATTTCCACTGAATTATTTTTATCTATGTTAGGAAATATTGGTGGCGGTGTTCTCCGCCAGATTGGTAGTGGCGTCCTCCGAAATAATGTTGTCACTAATTCTCTCTCCCTGGTTTTATCGTCCGAACTCTCTACCACTAAGGACAGAATAGATATGTATATTATTGAAAACATTAACATTTTAAAAATATTTGGTGGAATAATGAAAGAATTAATAATTTATTCAAACGCCTAGTTTTCAAGAAATTTTTAATTTAAATAGCGATATTTTATTTTTCAATACTAAGTAATGAATGTTTATGTAAAATAGATTTTTTATTATGAATGAATTTTAATATTCAGATGAGGTACAAAATACCTTTTTAGGTAAGTACTTCTCACATACTAACAACCTCACTCTACCATTTTTGTCTATTTTTACTTAACATATGTCATATTCCCTTAACTTTGCATCAATTGTATCTTTTAATGGTTAACATTGCATTAATTTTATCTCCTAATGCTTAACTTTGCATTTTTACCCCCAAAACCTGCATCTTCCATTAGTTAACTTTGTAATAATTGTACCTTTATACATTAACATTGCATTAATTGCATCTTCTTGTTCTTAACTTTTAATGAATTTTATATTTGTTCCTAAAATTACAGCAAATTTATCTTGTCATTCTTAACTTTAACCCAGAATAGTGTGTGCGTACGTACATTAGAATTGTCGCACACATGCACCCCATACGCATGCCTTAACATGCAAAGTTGGCATTTTTAAATTTGACATTTTTAAATTTGGCATTTTGTCACTTTACATTTTGAAAGTTGGCATTTTGTCACTTTACATTTTGAAAGTTGACATTTTAAAATAATTGGTTAGTTCCCCTTACATTCTGACTTGCGGCATTTTTGCAAATCATTTAAAATTTTTTGTAAAATTTTGTAAACTTTATTTCTCCGCATTTATTTTTATTTAATATATTTTTTAATTTTCTTCATTTTTAATTAATTATCAGACTCAAATATTCCAGTCCCAGACTGAAATTCACAACATACGAAATTTATAGAAGATTTTAAATTCAAAATTCCCTCAAATACGATTTTTGAAGTTGACGTTTTGAGATTTGCATTTTGTCGTTTTGCCATTTTGAAAGTTGGCATTTTGTCATTTGACATTTTGAAAGTGGTATTTCGAAATAATGCGTTAAACCCTTCTTGCATTTGTATTTCCGGTCATTTTGGACAAACTTTGAAAAAATGGACTGAGACTCTAGAGTCCAACATAACACACTATTTCGCTTTTAAACTTCTCTATTAGTACTTATCCCAGATGTTCTCTAACTACCGACCATTTTTGATTACCCACCCAGATTTTCTTAAAGGTACTTTTTATTTGAAAGCTGTCATCGCCCTTTACCTTCAAAAGTAATTAATCATTTTAAATATGATTAATTGCACTCCTTAATTACCGATGACCTTCTTCAGTAGGTGTAGTTCGGCGGCATAATTAAATAAAAAAAGGCATCAAAAGGAGTGAATTTCTGGAGGAGAGCGATTTGGGTTGAAACAAAACAAACTAATGGGTAATTAATCACCTGAAGAATGATTAATGGGCTTAAAACCCCTTTAAACCCACGGGATTGTCGGCAAGATGAAAAGAAAATACCCCCTATAGGCTCAGGTTTGATGTGACAGGTGATAAATGAGGTGAGCGATTTGGGTTGTTCCAAAACAAATAATGATGATTAATGGGCTTAAAACCCCTTTAAACCCACGGGATTGTCGGCAAAATCAAAAGAAAATACCCCCTATAGGCTCAGGTTGATGTGACAGTTCATCAAATGGGGTGAGCGATTTGGGTATGTGGAGCGATTGGGGTCTAGTTAACTACTGTTTCCCCTCAAAACCTATATTTGTAGCATTCGATATATATTTGTTTGTATTGTTATGATTGTAAAATAAATTGTTGTGTTTGGTAAAAGGACTTGAGTTTTATTCGATTTTGTATCTTTTCTGATCATTTAAAACAATTTAAAAAATAAAAGGCACTGAGCGGGGTCGAACCCGCGACCCCCTCGAAAACATCTTTAATTTCCGCTTAGATTTACATATTTTTCGTAGGATTTTAAACAATTAAAAAGTGGAAGGAAAAATTTCGGAAAACGAACAGAGCGCAAATGGGTCAAATCATATGTCATTCGAAAGAGCTCGTCGAGTTGAGTCGAATGGTGAAAAAATTTTCGTGCGGACTCATAGGGGCTGAGATATAGGCCCCCGAAAATCGAAAAACCATAGGGGGGACCAAGCACTTTTTTGGGGTGAAAAATCCGAAAATGCAAATTATACCTCATTCGAAAGAGCTCATCGAGCTGAGTTGAATGACACCAAAATCAACTCGAAATCTTAATTCTGAGCCGAGATAGAGGCCCAAAATGGTCAACGTAAACCTATGGGGCGTAGGCGAGGCGCTTGTGCAAAACCCCGCGCTTCGCGCGGGGTTTTGCGGCACGCGCCTCGCGGGGAGTCTACGGGCGCTGGGTCTGGGCTCGTAACTTAATCCTATTCCAATTATCGCTGTAATTGGTTATCTGGCTTCCTCCGTAGCAGGAAAAACCTCGACGGATACCAAAGGTAAGGAGCTAAAACAAACGGTCATAACTTTGTCAAATCAAGTCAGATTTCGTTGATTTTGGTATCATTCGACTCAGCTCGATGAGCTCTTTCGAATGAGGTATAATTTGCATTTTCGAATTTTTCACCCCAAAAAAGTGCTTGGTCCCCCTATGGTTTTTCGATTTTCGCGGACCTATATCTCAGCCCCTCTATGAGTCCGCACAAAAATTTTTTCACCATTCGACATAACTCGACGAGCTCTTTCGAATGACATATAATTTGACCTATTTTGGATCTGTTCGTTTTCCGAAATTATACCAAAGTGGAATTTTTATTTCTTGTTACTTCTTTGCTTATTAAGAACAGTTTTTTAACTTTTAAAAAATTCCGGGCCCCAAGCGGGGTCGAACCTACGACCCCATTTTGATCCATCATTTCTCTTTTTAAAAGTTTTAAGTAGTGTTTTTGATAAAATCTGAACTGAAATATACATTTTTGTAATTTTTGGTCATAAAAACAACCTTCCACATCTCCCGAGCGGCGTCGAACCCACGACCCCCTACTTTTTAACTCAACATTTTCACTATTATTTTCCATTAATCTCGTCCTCTCATCAATTATTTTATTTTTAAATTCTTCTTCATTTTTTAAATTTAATATTACTCGAATCGAAGGAAAAAAAGAAGGTTGTGTTCCAAAATATGGCCTAGATAATCGTCCTTTTCCTTACGATACAGAAAGAGTTTGGCAAAAGTTCAGCCACAAGGCAGGATTCGAACCTGTAACCTCCTCGTAGTTATTGCTAGGCGCTTTCGCTCACCACATATAGGAGCTCTACCACTGAGCTACCGGGACTTCGACCAAAATTTTCTTCTGTTCGAAAAAGTCTTGGTATAAAAGCCGTCTTTAAAATACTATAAAAGCCTTTTACTTTCGTCATTCTATACCACTCAACATAATTTCTTTCTCGCAGCAAGTATTCAAGCATCTCTACGAACAACAACAAAACATCAAGGCGCCATGCTTTTCTGTTTCGACGACGGATCTGGAGCGAAAAAGGCTTCGACAAATCCACGTTCGGCTACCACCATCTTGCCAATGTTCTTTGCTTCGACTCTCTTTGTTTTTGTGCTGGTTGGACAGGTCAACAGTGAGGATGTTGGATTCTTCAAGCACACTCTGAAGGATGGTCAAGTCACACTCGCTAATGATTCCAAGGCTGTCGAAGCAGGAGACGACTACAATCTTAAAAATTACACAAGGCTTAATGGGTCCTGTGATGTTGAAATCAAGAACGGAAGCATGTGAGTTTACAAAGTTTTTGCATCATTGAAATAATTTTTATTTGTTTCAGTGTGCTCTACTACAAGAGGGAAAACGGAAAGAACATAAAGGACGAGGGCTGCACTGTGGATTTGTTCACCAAGCATCCGAACATGATCAAGTTCAGGACCGGGGTGAAAAACAAAACTGCAGACTGCCTAAAAAAGTGTAGTGGGACAAGTATTTTTGATGGTGCTAGTGCAAATCTGTTAGTTTTTTCTATACACAATTTCCCTATATTTTACTTTTTAGCATTCCCTTCGCCTACAGTTTAAAAGGGAATAACATCACGGAAATCAGGAACAGATCGCGTTTTGGAAAAGGGCAGGATTGTTTAGAGAGGTGTGATAATGGTAATTGCATGGAATGGACTTCTCTCGAGGTTGGTTGGAACATATGCTTTTATGAGAAAAAACGCCAAGTCATTGCTCACACCCATCCAAGTAAGACAAATAAATCTTTTAAACTGTCTTTATCATTTATTTTCTAGTTGGTGAGAGCCTGGCTATATGGAGTCGATCAAAAGTGTTTAACAAATTCAATGAATTTGAGCTGACGATAACAGGTCAAGGCGGGTTCTACATGGATGAATCAGTAAAGGAAGTATATAATCCAGAAGATAAAGGTGCAGAACATCCATACTGCGTTCCGGAAGGAAATGGCACTGTCAAACCTGAGAATTGGGAAATCAATGGGAGTCCGGCTCCAGGATATGATCATCTGCTTGTCTTCTACATGCTTCCACAGAGCGCTTCTCGAAATCACAGCAAAGGCGAAATCGTCAAAGATGATCCTCCTGATGGTCCAAAATGTGAAGAACTCTACATTGAGTTTGTAAGGAATTTTGAGATTTTACAAAATCCTTTCAAAAATTTTCTTTTTATTCAGGACATGCAGAACTACACTCTTTTGGCTGTCGGCGATCCACCCACCACTACCACCACCACAACAACGACTACAACACAACCGCCAACTACCACCACTACAACCACTTCAACGACCACCACATCAACACCGGCTCCTGTAAAGACGACAGAAACGACGACGACAACAACGGAAAAACCTATATATCGGAGCGATGACTTTTGGCGTGGTGTTATTTTTGGAGGATTTCTTGCCTTCATAATGCTTTCCTGCTTTTGTTGTATAATGACCACCTGCTGTAATAAGAGGACCAATCGATTCTGCGGCAAAACTTGTCTAATGCTTCATGCAATAAACCTCACCATCTTCACATTAATTGGACTCGGAGTCTTCTTCGTCTACACTATGGTGGATAATCCAAGTGGACTCATCGTCTTCATCCTCATTCTAAGTCTTACTTGCTGCTGTATGGTCTCAACATGTTGCATCGTTCACAAGTACTACAAATACGAAGAAGGGAAGCTAAAAGACCAGGAAAAACGAAGGAGGGAGAAAGAAAAAGAAGAAGAAAAAGCAGCAAGACTGAAGCACGCGCAATACAAAAAAGAAATCGACCAGGTCATCGACGAATATATTGCAGCGACCAAGGATTTCGAAGTAAGGAAAATTTTTTATTAAATAAAAATAATTTTTTTTGTTTTTAGGACATCAATCCGGAAGTGATCAAACATGCGAAGAAAGCTCAAAACCTGCGGCCGCGTCAAATGCCTCTTCCACCTTACTGTTCAGTTGGTCTGAGCACGGATTCTGATCGACATCAGGTAAAAACCTGAATTTTTCAAAAAAAAATTTAATTGATATTTTTAGTTTGATCGGGAGAAGGACACGACTACAGCGAATTCACTGATGGGAGCCACGGAGACTTCGAAGATGGAGGCCGCGGAACATTCGAAGATGGGCGGGAAATCGGAGGAGGCAAAGGTGGAGGAGAAGTCGAAGATGGGGGAGAAATCAAAGATGGAGGAGGACAAAGCAAAGATGGAGGCCACGGCAAAGGTGGAGGAAAAGTCGAAGATGGGGGAGAAGTCGAAAATGGCGACCACTGCGAATTCGATGATGGAGACCAACTCGAAAATGGAGGAGGAGGACAAGTCGAAGAGCAGCCAGCAGGAATGATGAGAGGACAATAAAAGAAGCTATAAGTGTTCCAGAGAAGAAAAAAGATGTGTGATTGTTGAAGAGAAAGTTCAAAATAATAATTGTTGTTGTTGTTTTCCCCCAAACTTGTTTTCCCCAAAAAATCTATAATTGTATTGTTCAATATATATTGTTTGGTATATTGTTGTAATTGTTTGGTATATTGTTGTAATTGTTTGGTATATTGTTGTAATTGTTTGGTATATTGTTGTAATTGTTTGGTATATTGTTGTAATTGTTTGGTATATTGTTGTAATTGTTTGGTATATTGTTGTAATTGTTTGGTATATTGTTGTAATTGTTTCGTATATTGTTGTACATATAATTGTAAAATAAATTATTGTGTTTGTAGAAATGACGAGTGAAAAACAAAAAATAAAAATCAGAATATTCCATAAACATCAAAAACAACAGTCGAAAATTTAAAACATCTAAAAACAAATCAGAATTAAATAAAAACATTAAATGATCATAGGAAAAACCAATGAAAAACATCCAAATAAAATCAAAACGAACATTCAAAAACATCAGAATTTAAAACAAACATCAAATTTAAAACAAACATCAGAATTTAAAACAAACATCAAATTTAAAACAAACATCAAAACATTTAAAACAAACATCAGACAAACAAACAATACAAAAAGTTACTTTTTTCTACGCGATCTGTTTATTGCAAAAAGGAAATTTAATCAATCAAGAAGGAAATGGAGTAGATTGGAATGTTTTTAAAGAAAGAGAAAATAAAGTTGTTTTGGATGTTGCGCAAAAATTTTTTTCTTTTTTACATTTCACTTTTAGAGCTCTTCCTTTAAAATCTTCATTTTACTTAATAATTTAACTGTATTATACATCTAAATTTTTTGTAAAAAATTTCTTTTATTTTTAGGACCCTAAACTATCTCTGTAAATTTGTTCCTATTGTTCTTCTTCGATTAATAAAAATTTTCAGAAATTTTATGCTCTTTTGCCCCCCTCTATTTCGAACTTTTAATTCATTTTTCTTCCTATTTCAACCCCCCCCCCCCCCCCCTCTTTTTTAGGTTAAATCATTTTATAGTTTTTTTCTATTCTTTTTTGTCACCCCATTTCTTTAATTTCTTTTATTTTTTTATTGTGGAGTTGTTGCAAAAATAGGGTATAATTTTCTTATTATTTTTTTCTACTATTCACACGCTTCCAACACACAAAAACTACTCATATTTTTTAAAGAGAAACCTAAAAAAACTTTTTTTTAGTTTAATGTAATCCAATCCTAAATAAGTCTCCAATAACAACAATAATATATAAAATAAACTTGCCCATTTTTTTACTCCTTTTAAATAAATACACACTTGTGTTTGGGGGTGTTTAGGAGTGTTTCTGGTTATTTTTAAAAATGATATTATTTTTAGGCTTATTAAATGACTATTATTTTTTCTTTCCTTTCTTATCGGTGTCATTTAATTTACCCAAAATTATTTTTTCTAAAAAAATAAAATTTTTTATGATTATTTTTATACTAATCGGACACCTTGTGTAGATTAGAGACCGGACTGAGACTAGATTTCAATCGAAATCTCGGTAATCGAGATTGTGAATTTTTTCGAGAGCTTGATTGTCGAGCAACACATTCAGTCCGGTCTCAAGTATAGCTACCCCAAATATGTTTTTGAATATCCAAAATTTAGTATAGGTTTTTTTTAAATTCGGTTAATTTTTTATTAATTTTTTTTAAATTCGCCATAGAATCAGGGTTCACGCAACTGCAGGTGCGGAATTTTTTTTCTTTATTTTCATGAGCATCTTTTATGTCTAGAAAAACAATCATAACAATAATTTTGTTTTACTGTGACCTCTTATTTTTTTTTATTTATTGGGAGATTTTTAAGGAATGTTATTAGCTCTCTCTCTCTGTTAATTAATTATTCTAATTAAAACAATAAAAAATTAATTTGACGTATTTTTGCGCTTTTTATTTTTTTTAGGATTTTTTTTTGCTATTTTTGTAGTCCATATTAATAAAAAAATTTTTTTGCGTGGAAAAAGTAATATTTATTTAATGGGACCTTTCCCATTAAAAAATAAATTTTTTTTTGTATTTTTTAAAGCTTTTCTTAATATCGGCTTCTTTTTTTTATTAAATATTTTTATTTTTTAACCCATTTATTGCTATGGAAATGCAAATATTTATTTTTATATTTTACAATCAGAATTATATTGAAAATGAAATTTTATTTTTTTATTTTTTGGGTCCTAAAAAATTTTTTTCTAAAAAAATTTTTTTTAGAAAAGTAATGCCAAAAATAAACAGAAAATTAAATCAAAACTCAAAATAAATTAAAAAATTGACTAAAAAATAATTTTAACCTAAAAATAAGATGAAAAAAAAATTTTTTTAAATTTTCCTTTTCATCACCTATTTTTTTTAATTTTCTTTTTTTCGTTATTGGTCAACGAGGGCAAAAATTCAAGTTATTTTTAGGTTAAAAAAAATTATTAGCCAATTAGGTATTTTAATTTATTTTAAATTTTGTTTTAATTTTTCTGTTTATTTTTAGCCTTATTTTTTTGTACCAAGATTTAATTTAAATATTTCTTATTATCCTCTATGTGTGTGGCCTCGCGCTTCTTCTTAATTTTAAGATCTAGCAAGTCAACAACAACAGTTTTATTTAAATCTTTTTTTTCTTACATCTTCCCCCTCCCTCCTCTTTTTTAAAGGCCTACAAAATATTTATAAAATCTCTCTCCGAAAATTAAGAAAAAAAAATTTTCAACAAACTTTTCAGAAGCTCCTCTCTTCTATAAATTTTTCTTTTCCCTCTAATTTCTCCCCTTAAATTAATTGTTTATTTGGGACTTTTAAATAAATAAATATTTATTTATTTTTAAAGGGGGGTCTATGAAAAAAATTTTTTTTCCTCTCCCCTTCTTCTTCCCTTTGTCTTCTTCTTCAAAATGTGCTCGCGCAATTTTCCTTCCTTCCCTTCATTTTCCCTTTCTTTTAAAAGCAACATATAGCACGTTTTAATCCCCACCTTCATCCTCAACAACAACTAAATGAGAGAGAGGGTCTGTCCTTTACTTTTTTTTGTTTTGTTTTGCACATCATCATCAACTCTATTATTTAAATATAAATCCTTTCCTCATCCTCCTCGTCATCGTCCTTTACCCTTTTGTATATGTCCTCTATTTATTTTTACAATTTGTATTTTTGTTGGTGATTGTTTTTCTGTTTTTAAAAAATTATAATTAATTGGTTATTTTTGTAATGGAAATTTTTTTTTGGTTTTTAAAATTTTTTTGAACAAGAATTTAGCTGATATATTTTTTATTATTTTATTTTTAAGCCAATTTTGAATCAAATTATTGCCAGAAAAAAATTTTTTTTTCTAAGAAAGATTCCCAATTTTTTTATTTCCAAACAACTTTTCGTTTTTAATGTTGCCGCTTTTTAGGAATTTTTGGCTATCCGGAACCGAACCACGAAATCAAAGAATAAAATTCTTGGGTCCATGGGTCAGTTCATAATTGACAACAACAATTCATTTTTAAAATAAAAAATAAAAAAAAATTTTTTTTTAATTAAAAATTTTTTCCAGTTCTGTAAGGTTCTATACTCACCCAAAAATTCCTAAAATTCACTTTTATAATATTTATTTTTTTTTAATTTTTTATTTTATTTTCTTTATTAAATTTGTGGGAAATTATGATTTTTTAGTATATTTTTTATTAATTTTTTGACAATTTTTAATTCAAAAAAAATTTTTTTTAGTTTTTATTAAAAACTAATGGAACGACAACATAATTTAATATTATTAGGACAAGGAATACAACTTTGTAATTTAAAACAAAAACCAGAAGAAATAAAAGTTGCAGCAGCACTTGAAAATAATAATAATAGCGAAACAACAAAAATAAATGGGGAAGAAAATAAAGGGGAAACAATAAAAACAACAATTAACATAATAAATATTAAAAATAAAAATTTTATTATTAAAAATGTTGTGGAAGAGAACAAATGTGGAACGGAAATTGAACAACAAAAACATCAAGGAAAACAATTAAATAAAAATAATTTGACAAAAACATCAATTAAAACATCAGCAAAAACATCAGTAAAAACATTAGAAACATTAAAACAACAAAAACATTCAGAGGACAAACAAGAGGAAAACATCAACAACAAACAATTAATTAGTGAAAAACATGAACAAGAAAAACATGAAGAAAAACATCAAGAAAAACATGAAGAAAAACATCCAGAACAACAATTAAATAATAATAATTTAACAAAAACATCAATAAAAACATTAAAACAACAAAAACATTCAGAAAACACAAAAGAGGAAAACATCAACAACAAACAATTAATTAGTGAAAAACATGAAGAAAAACAAACAAAACATCCAGAAAAACATGAAGAAAAACATCCAGAACAACAATTAAATAATAATAATTTAACAAAAACATCAATAAAAACATTAAAACAACAAAAACATTCAGAAAACACAAAAGAGGAAAACATCAACAACAAACAATTAATTAGTGAAAAACATGAAGAAAAACAAACAAAACATCCAGAAAAACATGAAGAAAAACATCCAGAACAACAATTAAATAATAATAATTTAACAAAAACATTAAAAACAATAAGAGTGCAACAACAAGAAACACAACAAAAACAACAAGAAAACAAAGATAAAAACAAAAACAACGAACAAATAAATAAACAAAAACATCAAGAAAAACGAGAAGAAATAGAAAAACAACAAAAACAATTAGACAACAAACAACGGTTGCATCGACGCTTTTCTCTTGTAGAAGCATTAAATAATGGTGCTATTGATATGCCTGTATTAATGGTGGGGTTTATAATTTTACATATTATTTTTTTAAATATTAAAATATTATTAAAATAAGGGAAACAGGAACACTTTTTTTTATAAAATTTTTTTTTAAATTTTTTTCTAAAGAGTTTTCTTCCTTTTTTATGTAAGCTTTCAGAGAACCTTCCTTCTTTTTTTGGAGGATTTTCTTTATTTATTTTTGGTGATAGGATTTTAATTTTTTTTCATTTTTTCTATTTACTTCCTCATTAGTTTGAGAGGAGATATCTCCGCTATTTTTAATCTTGTTTTGGGATTTATTAAGTTGGAGGGGAAAAAATTTTTTGAAGCAACTTTGAGTTAATCCTTTTTTAGTTATATTTTTAATTTTTATTTTACTACTTTTTTTCGTTAAAACTTTGATAAGATTTTCTGCTTGATTTACATATATTTTCTTCTTTTAGCGACAAAAAAAAATTTTTTTTCTTAAATTAATTAATCTGCTAAATAATGGAGATTTGTCCGTTAAAATAACATTTTTTGTGAACAATAGTACACATTTTTTTCAACAAAAAAATTTTTTTGGACTATTTTTGAGTTCTAAATATTTTTTCCCTCAATTTTGGATACTTGAAGCTTTTAGATGTGTTTTTTAATTTGGTTGGCCCACTGGGTGGGGGGAAGCCCCTATTTGAGTTCCTTGAATTTGTTCTTCAAATTGAAGGTTCTAGAACCAGAAGCAACAAAAATCGGAATCATTAAGCCGTCAAAAACTGATAGAGACAGAAATAATGGAACCGTTCGGTTTTTAGGATCAAGGAAACACTAAGGGGTTTGCGGACTAAACGGCACCCTTAACTGGTACTTTATGGATATACTTCCCCCCCTCTATTTTGAGCATCAGAATTTTTTTTCAATATGAGAGACATTAATAAAGAAAATATTAATTTTTTAATTTTTTATTTGTTGACCAAAGGGAAATAGAATGAAATCGGGGAAGGAAAAAAGCACATATTGAAAAACTGATACTCAAAATGGGGGGGAGGTGGTGGTATATCCATAAAGTACCCCTTAATTTTAAATATTTCTTGTTATAAATACGATATCTTTAGTGCCAAGGTTTATTTTTAATACAAGCCCCCAACTTTATTTTCCGTCTTTTTTTCTGGTCAAAATTTTGATTTTTTTTTCTCAATTTTTTTATTTAGCTTGAAATCCTTTCATCTCCACTCACTTTTTCTTTTTAAAATTACTCCGAAATTTTTTTTATATTTTCTCCTAATTTTTAAAAATACCACCATCTCAAACACCTACCTTCCTCTTAAATTGAGTGCTTTTTTTTTCAGTTGCCGTGTCCACCCTCTTTTGATTTTTCCTCCCTCAATTTTCTCTCAATTTTCAATGCCTAAAAAGCCACCACTTGTTTTAATTTTTTTATTTTTGTTTTCCTTTTTTATAAATTTATTTTTAATTTCTTTATTTTTTTTTCATCAATTTATTTATTAAAAATCTCCAAGGTTTTTTGGACGGAAAATATGGAAGAGGGGAGGTGGGATATTTTGTCTCATTATTTATTTATTATTTGCCATCTGCTTTTTTTCTTAAACAATTTTTGGCATTTGTTGCTTTTTTTGACATTTTTTTATTTAAAAATTAAGGAATTTTGTGTAAGAGAGGCTAAGAATGCTTATAAAAAATATTTTATTTTTTTGTGATTATTTTTTGGGAAAATTTCTCGAAATTATAATTTTGTGCCAAAAAATAATTTATTTACTGACTGGTTCAAATTAATTTTTTAATTTATTATGTTCATACATTGGAAAAATTCATTGGCTGGGAGTTGGAATAGAACCATCATGGAAGGGCCCAAATCGAAGCACAACCGATCCTGTGCAGCCATCCAACCCGTTGATGGGGTTATTTTTTAGAGCCCGGAGTGGGATCGACGAATCTCGATATTCAAGATTTTCAATTGAGATCTCGTCTCTGTCCGAACTCCAGTTATTTTTATTCATTTATGTTTTCTTCTTCCAAGTGCGGACACAACCTTTATTATTTTTTAATTTTCACTGAATTTTTTAATTAAAAAAAAAATTTTTTCAAGTCATTTGTTGAAGCACCTTTAAAAAAGCACAAATTCCTTTTAGCTTCTTCCATTTTTTTCTTCTACTTTTACCTTCATTTTTTACTTTTATTTTTATTATACTTGTACTTCTTCTCTTCATTGAATTTTCTTTTCTCATTATTTTATCTTTTTTTTTATTAAATTTTTTAAGAGATACACAAGTGGATATATTAGTGGGGATATCTCAAATAAAGAAGAGATAGGTATATTTATTACAATTTTCAATCAACTTTTATTTTTTCCTCTCATTTCATTTTCAGGAAAAAAAAACAACAACAAATTTTTTCTAGAAAAATTTTTTCAGGATTAGTAAAATGCAAAAATAGTTGTTTCAGTTCTTTTGCACTTTTCTTAACTTTTATTTCTTACAAAAAAAAAATTTTTTTTTTTAATTTTCCAAGTCAAAAAAATGTATTTTTTTCCTCAATTTGTTAGTAAAATTGGTTTTAAGACTTACAAAACCTCAAAAATTGGTTTGAGGGCTCAAAAACCGATCCGGATAAATTATCTATTATTCAAAAGAGATCATTGAGCAGAATCGAATTACACACCAAAATCATCTTGATCCTATAATTTTGAACATTTCACATCGAATTCTCTTCTTTTTCTCCCCTTTCAACTCTCCTTTTTTTTTGTTAGATTATAATCTTATTTTTTCATTTTAATAACTTTGCGAATCTCAATATTTTGAGTATTAATTAAGTGTTTTTGTACGATTTTTGATTTTTTAAAATTTTTCTGTTCGGTTTTTATAATAAAAAAAAATTTATTTGGAGAAATTTAAAAAATTAAAGGGTTATTCATATCCCTCTCAATTTTTCTTTTGTTAGCTATCCAATCTTTTTTTTTTGCCTTTTTTTAAATATTTTTTTCCATTATTTTTAAAATTATTTTTTAATTATAGAAATAATAATTTTTTTAATTAATTTTAAATATTAAAATTTTCAATTATTTATTATTCCCTTAAAATTTCCCTTAAATTTATTTTTACAAAAAAAATGTTATTAACAACAACAACAACAAATATAGTTGACAATAACAATAATAAACTTATTGAAGAGCCTTTTCAAACTTTAATAGGGCAAAAATTAAATAATTCGACTGTTGTACATATTTTACCTATTTTAAATAAATCTGCAAGGGATGCAACTGTTGTTGATTTAAAGGAGGAAAAATCAGAAGAAGAATTAATAAATAATAAAAATAAGGAGAAGCGTTTGTCGAGTTGTTCTGAATTTTTATTAAATCAATTGGATGATTCGTTAAATGCTTTAGAAATGGTTAAGGTAAAAATATAGAAAGGGGGAGAGATTTGGAGGGTGGAATGATTTTTGGTAGGAACCAGAGGTGGGTCGGAACAGTCAGAGGTATTGGAAATCGGAACTGTCGGAAATCGGAAATCAAAATTTTTTCGGAAATCGGAAATAGGAAGGCAGAAATCGGAATTCCAACCCACCTTCTGGTTGGAAGGAGAGATCGAGATTTTTGAAAAGCCTGGGCCGATTCCTGGGTCCGGGTTTGATTCATTATCCTGGGCCGGATCCTGGGCTGTCTTCCAGAAAAACCCCAGGCCCAGGAAAAACCCGAGGAAGGTCAGAAAATGCCTGGGCCAGGACTCTGAGTACAAGACTGAACCAAGGCCCAGCTCGATCTTTAGTAGGAAGGAGGGACATTTTGTTTAAAAAAGGGGATTTTTGAGTAGAAAGGGGGGTGACATTAAAAGAGGGAAATTAAAAGTTTCTGAAAAAAATAAAAATTTTATTTAATTTTCTCTATTTTTAATCATCAATCATAATCAATCAAAAAATAAAATTATATACCTATTTATTTTTGTTAATTTTTCTTGTATTAAATTTTACTGCAAATTTTACTAAACATACTTTGGTTGAGTTTAAAAAAGTTGAGCATATTTTTAAAAATAAAATTTCTAAGAAAATTATTTACATTATTTTTATATTATTTTTAAAATATTTTTGGTACATGTTCCACCTACATATTTTTGTTTTGTATTAATTTTTTTATTTTTTATTTTTCATTTTTTATTTTTTTGCTAATTTTTTTTTGTAATTTTTGCTTAAACTGACCCACAAATATTCTTTTTTTTTCTCTTTAATTCTTGTTATAATTAAATATGTAACTGATTTTTTTAATAAATTAAAATGTTGGGATAGGACTAGTAGTAAGTACTAAATCGAGAATTATAAAGAAAATAAAAAGGTGTTGGGTTAAAAATTAAATAAAAAAAAATTTTTTCAATTGTATTTTTGTATTCCTCTGTGTGTGTTTACTTAGCCCCCGTTTTCGGATCATTCTCATTTTTTGTTGTTGTCCTTTGCTCTTTTATAAAATAATTTTTTATTCTTTATTTTTTTATGGCCACAAAAGCCTTTTTTTTATTATTGTCTAAAAAAGAAAATATGAAAAAATTTAGGTTAACAATTTTTGTTTTGTGTATTTTTTGTACTTTAGATTTCGACCATTTTATTGCATTGATTTTGAGACTAGATTTTTTCGAAAAAAAATTTTTTTTATTCCTTTATCTAAAAATTGTCTTTTTTGGTTTTATTTTTTCTCAAAAATTATTTACTCTGTGGAATCTCTCTTAATTAAAAAAGACCCCTTGGTCCAAATCCTCATTAATACAAGCTGAAAAGTAACATGAGAGGAGGGTCAGTCGTTATCGAGGCGCGTTTTGTTCGAGATTTTGTCTTGATCCGGTCTCTAGTTACCACTATTTTTAATCTCCAAAAATTTTTTACAAAAATTTTTTGTTTAAAATATTAATAAGATAATTTGCTTCCTTAAATTTCCTTTTATTTAATTTTAACTTTTTATTTATCCAAAAATAATACAGGGTGCGTCATAAGTAATTGGACACTTGTTTTCTCTCATAACTTTATTAAAACACAATCAAATAAAATCGAAATACAATCAAATGATAGAGAATTAAATAAGGAACAATAATAATCAGGAAGTTTCGAAATGCCCACCCTTGGCTTTGATACAGAGGCGAAGGCGCGAAGAAAAATTTTCGCATATAGCACGCACCTCTTTGAGTGTAATTAAGTGCCACTCCCGGCTGAGAGAATGGCGCAGAGACTCCAAACTTTTTTGAGGCTTAGCACAGACCCTGGACTCCAAAATAGACCAAAAAGAATTATCCATCGGGTTTAGATTCGGGGAGTAGGACGGCCATTCCTGAGCGCTAAAGAACCCAGGAAAATTGGCCTTGCACCAGTCCTGAACTTCTTTCGCCTTGTGTGCCGGAGCAGAGTCCTGTTGGAAAATCCAGACTATGCGACCGAAATGGCTCTTGAACCGAGGCTTCAGAACACGCTAAAAAAAATTCTCGCAAGTAATAGTCTTTGTTGACTTTTACATCAAAATCCACGAAAAAAAGGGGTTTTTTGACTGACGCGCAAATACCGGCCCAAACCATGACAGATTGGAGATGTAGGAAATGAGTGATAAGCTCATCGGAAAGAGGAGATTCTGTAGTCCAGATTCTATAATTTTGATGGTTGTGTACGATTTTTATTGTAAAAATTTTTTCGTCTGAGAAGGGAATGTCCGGACATGCGTGCCACTGTAGGAGGAGTTTGCATTTTGCAAGCCTAATTTTTTTGGTATTTTTTGTTGGCAGTTGTGCTTTTTGGATTTTGTAGGGTTATAACCCAAGTTCATTTATGGCTATTCGTCTGACGTTCCTCTCATTTATTCCGGTGTCACGAGCCAATTTTCTCATGGAGGGTCGAGAATTGCGATACACCCAAATTTTGATCATTTTTATATTCTTGGAAGTGCAGACGGAACCAGGTCTTCCACTTTTTTGTAAGTTCTTAGTTGTGTCATCATTACTAAATTAATTTCAAAAAAATTTTCTCCCAAAAAATTTTCACCAGAATTTTTTGATTGTGTCTTGTACAGTGCTTTTTGGGACATCCAAAAGAGGTGAAATTTTGGGGACTGAATTTTTTTGCAAAAAAAGTAAGATTATAGAATCACGTTGACTAGCCATAATAGAGAATTGAATGAGCTAAAAAATAAGCCTAAAATCAATTAAAAATATTGAAAATAAAAAAAGTTATAAGGAATTTAAAAGTGTCCAATTACTTATGACGCACCCTGTAATAAAATATTTTATCGATTCATCCAAAAAATTGTATTTTTTCGACTTTTCTTTTTTTTTCCTTTTATTTTGCATTTTTAACGTTTTTTTTCTATTTTTATTTCATTTTACAAAATAGCAACAGAGAGAGAAAATATTAGAAAATTTGGTGATGGTTGTTTTGTGTTGACTGTGTCGATCGGGCTTTTATTCTTTAAATTTATTTTTAATATATGTACATATATTTATGAAAATGAGGGCATGCTTTTTTTTAAATATTTTTTTCCAATATTTTTATTTAAATATTTAATTTAAAATTTTTCGATTTAAAAATATGGTTTTTTAATTTTTTTTTTAAATTAAAAATTAAATTTATTTATTTTTTTTAAATTTAAGTTTAATAATACCTCGGATTTAAAAATACCATTTGCCCTAAAGAAATCATATTTTTAAACTATGGACTATTTAAAATTATAATTATAGGTTCAGTTTCCCTTCCCCATCTTCCTGTATGTCTAATAACTTTTTTAAAGGTTGTAAAGGAGTATTTAAAACCCCCAATATTATTTTTCCGGAAATTAAAAATAGAGATAGGACTGAGAGGGTCGTACGAGAATCGAGATCTCGAAAAATACTCGATCTCAATAACCGGGATTTTTGATCGAGTTCACGTCTATGTCCGGTCTCTGATTAAAAATTCTGGATTTTTGAATATTTTTTTTAATTTAATTATTTTTTTCAGTACTCCAACTACTTTTTGTCTAATCAACAACAAAATTTAAAGAACCCTTCACCTTCCCCATCACCTCCACCTCTTTGGAACGAAATGTTTCTTCCATCAGTTTCACCTTGTAATAATACCACAAATTTAAATTATTATCAACATTCCCCTTCAACAAATAATATTCGAGATAATGCTGCTAATTCACTAACAACAAATAATTGTTTATTAAAACCTGGAAAGTTTCCTGTTCAAAAAGTAAGGGAAAAATTTTATTTTGAAAATTCGGGACGGAATTTTTTTTTCGAAAATTATTGAAAAAAAATTTTTTGAAATTTCTGAAAATTTTTTCGAAAATTTTTTTTGAAAATTTCATGACGAAAAAAAATTTTTTCCGAAAAATTTTTTAATTTTTGAAGGAAGATATTGTTGCTGCTTCAGCTTCTTCATTTTCCTCTTCTCTTGGTATGGATACTCTTAGACAGAAAAAACGTTCTCGATCACAACCTGGAATTTCTCTTATTTCCACAAATCAACAAAAATTAGAAAAAAATTTAATTCAACAAGATGTTGATTTTATTGAAACAGATTGTTGTTGTTTAGCAGAAACTAGCCAAACTAACGCTACGTTGCTTTGGTCTGCTTCAACAACAACTGAAGCAAAGGGGGAAAGAAATTCAATAATTACAATATCTCCACAAAATAAAATTAATATAAATGGATTAAGTAAAAGTGTTGTTATTATTGATAGAAGAAAAGGGGGAGGAAATGATAGAAGAAATAAAGATGAGGAAGAAGAAGAAAATGGAAATGGGGGAAGTTGTTGTTCACAAGATAGCGGTGTAAGAAGCAGGTTAGGGAAAGAAAGAAATAATAAAAAGCAGAATTTTCCGGAATTAATAATTAAAAATCAGAATTTGTAATTTACAGAAAATAATTACAAACCAGAATTTACAATTTTCTGGAAATATAATTTAAAATCAGAATTTGTAATAAATAAAAATCAGAATTTGTAATTTTCCGGAAATATAATTTAAAATCAGAATTTGTAATAAATAAAAATCAGAATTTACAATTTTCTGGAAATATAATTTAAAATCAGAATTTATAATTTTAAATAAAAATCAGAATCTGTAATTTTCCGGAAATATAATTTAAAATCAGAATTTATAATAAATAAAAATCAGAATTTGTAGTTTTCCGGAACGAATAAAAATCAGAATTTTAATTTCCGGAACGTATTAACTATAATTTACATTTTAAAATTAATTAATAAACCAGACTTTATATTTCCGGGATATTTATACATAATTAAATCAGAATTTACAATTTTTATAGCACAAAATTACAAATCAGAATTTTTAAAAATTAAAACCCCCCATTTTTTTAAACAGCACTCATTCTACTGGTAGTTTAACAACCGCTAGTAGCAATAGTGGTGGATGTATTATTGAAGAAATTGATTCAGAAATAGCTAATTTAAATTGTAATGGAGAGGATAATAAACAAATATTAAATCAAAAACAACAATGTTTTTGTTCAAATATAGCAACAACATCTAAAGTGTTACCACCTTTTCTTCATTTAATTTCCTGCAACAGTAAGGAGAATGGTTGTGGTGGTGGTGGGGGTGTTTTGTTTACCGCAGAAGCAGTTTTTGAAAATGTGGTGAATAAATAAATACCGTATTGTCTCTAATAGAAGCCCACCTCCAATAGAAGCCCATGCCCTAATAGAAACCCAGGGGTATTGAAAAATAGAAGCCCTGGGCTCCTATTAGAGACAATACGGTATTTAAGAAAATCAGAATTTAAATTTGCAATTTTCCGGAAAGAAATATTAGAATTACAAATCCTGAATATTTAAACCAGAATTTTCCGGAATAAAATCAGAATTTGTAATTTTCCGGAAAAGTCAATAAAAACCAGAATTTGTAATTTACAGAAAAATAACTACAAACCAGAATTGCAATTCTCCGGAAAAGAATAATTAAAATCAGAATTTGTAATTTTCCGTAAGGAATATAAATCAGAATTTACAATTTTCCGGAATTAATAAATAAAAACCAGAATTTGTACTAAACCAGAATTTTAATATTCCTTATCAAAAAAGAAAATCGGAATTTAAATAATTTTCCGGAATTAATATTACTTTTCCGGAAAGTTTATATAATTCAGAAGTTTTACAATTTATTAATCAGAATTTGTATTTTTTCCGGAAGGAATATTACATTTCCGGAAAATTTAAACCAGAATTTTTCTAATTTATTAAACTAACCGGAATCAGAATTTGTAATTTTCCGGATCAGAATTTTTTATTCTTTTTAAACAAAAATCAGAACTTAAATCAGAATTTGTATTTTTTCCGGAAGGAATATTACATTTCCGGAAAATTTAAACCAGAATTTTTCTAATTTATTAAACTAACCGGAATCAGAATTTGTAATTTTCCGGATCAGAATTTTTTATTCTTTTTAAACAAAAATCAGAACTTAAATCAGAATTTGTATTTTTTCCGGAAGGAATATTACATTTCCGGAAAATTTAAACCAGAATTTTTTGAATTTATTAAACTAACCGGAATCAGAATTTGTAATTTCTGGATCAGAATTTTTTATTCTTTTTAAACAAAAAAATCAGAATTTGTAATTTTAAATGAATATTACAATCCGGAAAACTTGTTAAATAAACCAGAATATTGCGAATTTTTTAGAGACAAAAAATCAGAATTTTAATTATTTTAGAAAATAAATATTCTGATTATTATAATTCTGATTTTTACTCTTTAAAAAATAATTCTTTTTTAATAAGGCAATGCTTCGCGATGAATTACCCTTTTCCCCTGGGGACGAAGTTGCAGTTCTTGATTGTCCTTCTGATGAGTTATGGTATGGAATTTGTGGGCCTAGAAGTGGGTGGTTTCCTGCTGCATATATTCGAGTAATTTTTAGAGAAAAAATTTTTTTTCAAATTTTTTAGCCCAAAAATCGCGATTTATGTCGCCTTTTTTCATCTGATTGTGGAAGTGATAGTAATTGTTTAATAAATAATTCTTCAACATCTTGTGACTTTCCTTCCAATGAGATGCGTAAATTAAGGAGAAGAATAATTCAAGAATTGGTTAATACTGAAAGAGAATATGTTAGGTTACTTGAACATCTTGTGATGGTAAGTTAAAAAATTTTCTTTTAAATTTTATTTTGAGGCTCAATCCAGGTAATTTTCAAAAAAAATTTTTAAGAAATATTGGTGGGCTAAGAAGAATTTTTAAAATTATTATTTTGGGACCAATCATATAATGTACTAAATGTAAGGGCGGCGGATCCGGAGAAAGACCGGTTATCCGGAAATTTCCGGTTCGGATACCGGATCCGGATATCCGAAGGTTTTCAGCTATCTGCTAACCTTATCGTATCTACTAAAAAATTTTTTTAATGATACTAATCTTATGCTTTCCAAAAAATTTTTTGAGAGTCCTTTGAGAAAAAAAAGGTAACTTGTGGATGGAGGCATAACATAACCACACAGATTTATTATGATTTTGATTAAAAAAATTTTTTTCTTTAATTTTTATTTTGGTTTTTGCAATCCGGAAAACCCTAAAATTTTAATTTGAAAAAAAAATTATTGAACTAAAAATTTAGAAGAATTATTTTTGGGAGCATTTATACTAGAGATCGAGCTGGATCTGGACCTAAGCCTAAATTTTTCCTGTACTCAGAGTCCAGGCCTATGCATTTTTTGACCCTTCTAGGTTTTTCATGGGCCTTGGGTTTTCCTGGACTACAGGTCCAGGATCCGGCCCAGGTAAATAAATCAAACGCAAGAGTCCAGGAACAGGTCTAGGCTTTTCAAATACACCAATTTTTAATTGAAAATAATCCTTTATGCTTCCAAAAAATATTATTTGGTAATTCCAAGGCTGGTCCCCCCCCCCCCCCTTTTTTTCTGTTTGCCTGACCATTTTGAGATTTTTTGCTTGAAATATAATTTACAATATATCATTCGAAAGAGCTGTTCGAGCTGAGTAGAATGATACTATGATCGGATAGATTTGTCGATTTTGAACCAAATTATGAAGCTAAATCCTCGATGGACATGCTTTTTGTGATGTTTAAAGGGGTTAAAACAAACGGTCATAACTATGTTTATTTAAGTCGGATTTCGATGAATTTAGTACCGTTCGACTCAGCTTGAAGAGCTCTTTCGAACGATATATAATTTGCCAAAAAAAGTTTAAGAAATCGAAAAAAATAGAAAGGAAAAAAAGGGGGGGCCAACCTTGGAATTACCTATTATTTTTGAGAAAAAAATATTTTAAAATAAATGTGACTTGTGGATAGAGGCATAACCGAGGGGAACAGTTGTATTTCTACTTTTTGGATTCTAATTTTGTTTTATTTTTAAAAAATTTTTTTTCTTGAGGGCTTCTTAGAGCAATGCCGTCGCCGTCGTGAATTATTCCCCGAAGAAAGAATTTTACGAATTTTTGGAAATTTGGAATTAATTTATTCTTTACACACAAATATATTTAAAGAATTATTAAATGTATTGGATGAAGAAAAGCCTGAATCGACTTGTTTGGCTAATGTTTTTCTTAAAAATGTGGGGGAGGAAATCAAATTAATTTTTAATTAAAAAAATTTTTTTGTAGAGTCAACAATTTGGAATTTATACAGATTATTGCAATAATCGAACACTTTCGTGTACTGAACTTGCGCAGCTTGAACAACAATCACAATATTTTCATTTTTTTGAGGTGTTCTTTTTAATTCTAAAAAATTTTTGGGGGGATTTTTTTTGGTAAATGCACTTTGGATCTCACTTTGGAATACTCTAGACCTCAATCTAGACGGGGTTTTTAAAATTTTATTGACCATTGGGTAGGTGATGGACTTGTTAAGCGAAACTCCCGATTTAAGATATTTAAGATACCAAAGACGCAGCCAGAGGCCGGGTTTTGGGGGACTATAAGTAGCGTCTCGCCGGAAGTTCCGTGATTTTTTGGTTCCGGTTCCGGGTTGTTTATAAAGTTTCGGTTCCGGCCAAATTTGCGGTTCCGGCGAAACACTAACTGTAAGAAAAGGTTTGGTGTTTAGGCCCGGATATGTTCTTGTAAGATACCCTCTCTCTTTAAAAGACTTTTAATTTTAGGGGCCATTTATAGGGTGGTGAACCAAGCGATACCCTCTATTTAAGAGACATTTCATTATAAGAGTCAAAAAATTTTTTTCAGTCTCAAAAAGAGGGTATCTTTAGTGAGGTCCTATTAAAAAATTTCAAAAAAATTTTAAAATCTTTTAAAATCTTTTTTGAAAAGGCTTGCCGTCTTTTACGTGCCTTGCCAAAACTTTCATTGGACGCATTTTTATTAACTCCAGTTCAACGTATCTGTCGTTATCCTCTTCAACTATTGGAACTTTTAAAAGCTACACCTCCAAACCACCCGGATAGATTAGCATTAGAATTAGCCCAAAGAACAATGAAATTAATTGCCTCAAAAGTTAATGATGGAAAAAGAAGAGTTGATGCTATACAAAAAATTTGGTTATGGCAAAATAGTGTACATGGATTTAGAGTAGAATTTTTTTAAATTTTAAATTAAAAAATAATTTTTTTGGGTAAAATATTGGCATTTTTATTTTCAAAAAAATTTTATGAAATTAATTTTTCCTCCAAAAAAATTTCCTCCCCTTCCCCATTCAAATTTTTTTTTCAAAAAAAATTTTATTCCCAATTTTTTACCGTTATTTTTAAAGGAAAGATTTAATTTTTGTTTTACAGTAGCATTTTTAAGTGTCAGAAATAGAGTATTTTTTTTTGAAAAAAATCCTCGGTTCTTCGGTTCCAAGCCGTCAGAGATCTCCTCCTCCCCCTTTTCCCCCCTTACCCATTCAATACCCCCTCCCTTACCCATATGGCAAAATAGTGTCTGGCTGAGGTTCCATGGACCTTTTTTTAGTTCTCTCTAAACCTTGAACTTATTTCCTACTGATTGTTAGCTGCAGATTTAATCTTTCCTTAAAAATAACGGCAAGAAAATAAAGGGGAAAAAATGGAAACAACTAAAAAAATTTTTTCAAAAAATTTTTTTGTTTCAGGGCCCAAACTTAATAGAAAGTAATCATCGTCTTTTAATTAATGGAGAATTACAATGCCGTGCTTTATGGAATGGACAATTACAATGGTCAAAAAATGGATTAATAATTTATTTATTTGATCAAACAATTGTTTTGTGTAAAAGGGATGTTTTGAGACGGAGTAATTTAATTTTTAAAGAAAGAATGGGTATGGGTGGAACTACTTTGTATGATTTACATGATGGAAAAGGTGATTAATTTTGAGTGATTTAAAAAAAATTTTTGGAGTAATATTAGTAGCTAGAGCCCGAACCGAGACGAGATCCCGATCGAAAATCTCGTACGACACTCCCAATCTCTACTAGGCACGGATAGGATCCTCCTGGATTTTTCCAGAACCGGGTCCAAAACCGGGGTGTTTTTTCTCGTGATCTTCATATGTTTTCTATACCGGGTTAATGGTTTAGTCCTTCAAAAAATGCGGCGAGTCCAGTCTGGATTTTACTTACAAATCCGGATCAGGAAAATCGAGTGTTACACTGTTGTTACAATAGGGGATCTCTCTTCGTTATTACTCCCTTCTTTCCTTCGTTCTCCCAGGTTTTACCCTCCTTTTTTGGCCCTATTTGCGATAGAGCCCTTTTTACGGTAGTTTTATTCGGTCTTGAACAACCACAAACAAAACCCTATTGAGAAAAATTTTTCTTCAAAAAATTTTTCTCGATAGGGGATATCAAAAAAGTTCTTTTTCTGAACTTTTCTCCTTTAAAATTCTCTTTCATTTAAAGATCCCTTAACTGGTACAACATTAAAAAATGCTTTTAAATTGTCTGGGCCAGCACGAGAATATATTTTTTGTTGCCAAGATGCTGCAACCAAAAGTTTATGGTTAGAAGCTATACGTAATAGACCTAGACCACAACCACCTAGTCAAGCTGAAAGGCGTTTAGCTATGTTAATTTAGAGGGAATTTAAAAAAATTTTTTTTGGAGAAGAAAAAATTTTTTTTAATAATTTAAATCTTGAATTGAGAGTGAGAGAAGGAAAATAAACAAACAAACTTAAAATTAATTTTTTTAACTGCCATTATTTCTTTTAACTTTTTTTTTATTTTTTTCTAATTTTATTTATTTTAGTAAACCTCATTTTTAGATACATATTCCAAAATTTAATTAAAAAAAATTTTTTTTTCTAAAATTTGGTTGGTTCCATTGGGAGCAGAGGTGGGTTGGAACAATCAGAGGTGTCAAAAAATCGGAAGGAAAAAAACGTCGGAAATCAGAATTGCGACTCACCTCTGATTGGGAAAGATAGAGAGAGGGGGAGCTTTTTATTAAATACACACACAACTCGAAAGGTGAAAAAAAAATTTCTGTTAAAAGAAATTTAGGGGGGGGGGGGATATGAGCGGGTGAGGGGCAACTCAATTAATTTCAAATCACGGACCTTGACTTGTCGTTACTTGTCCTGTCCGTCCCTTGAGTTAATTCGACAAACGAGCAGTATTCATAAGCTAGTACCAAAATTCGTACTCTTACTTTGGTACGAGTACGAGCAATATTGAAATTTATGAAACACTGTTTAGGAGACCCTACTCGAATACTTGAGCGATATCTCCAAAAAGGGACGTGTATCTAAAAATAGGGTTCAATTTTGTATTTAAAAATCTTAAATAAAAAATATTCCTCAATTTTTTCTTGTGCCTTTCATTACAATTTTTCTTTAAATTTTCTTTCATAAAAAAATATTTTTAAAAATAATGTAAATTTTCTCGTTAATTGTAATTTTTTTAAATAAATTTAAAAATTTTTTCCCCTTAAAAAATTTTTTTCTGACGGATTAAAAAATGGACATTCAAAAATCTTTTTTTTTAAACCCGCAGTTTGTCCATTCTACCATCCCCTTATTCCACTTTTAATAAATTTATATATTGATTATATTGGGTTGAGCAGCGACCGACAGCACCACCAACCATCAACGCTATTTCCCCTCTTCAAAACCTCTTTAAAAATTATGTATATTCCAATTGCCGCGCTCTAGTTTTTAATTTTTTTATTATTAAATGTCGATATTATTGAATAGCTTTTAAAGTATTTTTGTGTGTGATTGCTGGGTGCTGCAAATGTTGGTGATGTTCATTCAAGTGCGGGGGGAAGTGTAGGGGGTCTGGGTATGTTGAGAGTTGTGTTGGTTCATATCGGCATACACAACTACATACATATTTATTTCTATTTTTATGTGTATTTTTAACTAACACACACAACATTATACGACTTAATACACAATTTTTATATTTTATTTTAACTAAAAAATTTTTTTGCGCGAGTTTTTGTCGATTTTAGTATATCCCCCATTTTTTTAAAATTAATTTAAATTTAAAAATTAATTTAAAAAACCCCGCTTTTAAAATTTAAATTTAAAAAAAAGTTTGTCTAGTAAAATACATATGTGTATTGATCATCTTATTGTTAGTTTAATATATAGAGAAGCATATGTTTTGTTTACAAAAATATATAAAACAAAGTTATGTTCTGTTTAAATAAAAACATATTGTTAAATAAACATGTTTGAGAAACATGTTTTTACTAAATATTTACTATTTGTAAAAATCAGAATTTGTAATTTTAAAATTAATAAATCAGAATTTGTAAAAATAAATTAATTTCAGAATTGTAAAATATAGATCAGAATTTGTAATTTTTAAATTAATCAGAATTTACAATTTTCGGAATTAATATTAAAAATCAGAATTTTACAATTTCTGAAATAAATAATTAAAAATCAGAATTTGTAAAAATAAATTATTTTCAGAATTATAAAATATACATAAATCAGAATTTACAATTTTTAAATTAATCAGAATTTACAATTTCCTGAATTAATATTATAAATCAGAATTTTAAAATCAGAATTTGTAATAATTTTACAATTAATAAATCAGAATTTTACAATTTCTGAAATAAATAATTAAAAATCAGAATTTGTAAAACTTAAGGAGCATTTTTATAATCAGAAAATAAACTTGAAACAAGCTTAATTTTAGAAAAATAAACTTGAAGCAGGCGGAATTTATTTTTCCAAGTTTTATTTTTTAAATTTATTTTCATAACATAAAACTTGCTGTCCGCAAGTTTTATCCGCAAATTTTTTAATTAATTTTTTTTTTCTTTTTTATAGAAAGTAGAATATTATCAAATTAATAATTATTTAATTTATTTTAAAAAATGCTTCGCCGACTTCTATCCAGTCCCTTGTCTATGAATGGAAAAGTGGATGAAGATTTGTATGGTACTGGTGATGAACCAAAGGAATATGTAAGGGGAATTTTTTATTTTTTTAATTCTAAAAATTTTTTTTTTCAAAGTTTCTTTTATCAAAAATGCAACCTTTGCCTCCCGAAGACTTTGATCAAAACGACTTACAAAATTATTGGTATCAATCACAACCAAATTTTGTGAATAATCAACAACAACAACAAGGTTTTTCAACTGTGGCAATAGAAAATGATGTTTATTGGCCAAAGTAAACGAGAAATTTTTTAAATAATTTCTAAAAGAAAACTAAATAATTGGACAAAATTTGCAAAATTAAAAAAAATGTTGTATTTTTGGTTAAGTGGTTTAATTTTTATTTTTTGATGTTGAAAGTTCGATTCCTACTGGAAGCTACAATTTTTATTTTTGCAAAATTGAAAAGTATATTTCGGGAAATTGCTTTTTGGATAGCTGCATATTTTTAATTTAAAGTCCGCACAAAAATTTTTTGTCCGCAAAAAAATTTTTTGTCCGCAAAAAATTTTTTTGTCCGCAAATTTTTTTAATTAAAAAAAATTTTTTTTTCTAATTAATCTTTTTATAAAATAGTTTTATTCCTCTTGACCAATGCAATAATGGAAATGCTTCTAATATTATTACGATTAATTCAACAAGTTTACCTCCACCAACACATCCCCCTCAACCTTTATTTTATTCCACACCTCTTCATATTCCTTCAACAAAAAATATTTTGGAAGAAAAAAATTTTCAGAATGACAATAATTGTTATAAAAATAATTTTGGTTTTAACTCTACTCAAGGTTATTTCAATTAAATTTTTTTTGATTTTGCGGACAAATCTGCAAAAAATTTTTTTTCTGTCATTTTCTTGGACATAGATTTTTTAAATATAGAAACCTTTTAAAAATATGTTTTGGATTTAATTAAAAATCAAAAAATTATTTTTGGGCTAAATTTTATTTAAATTAAAAATTCTTGAAAATGAAAATGTCCGCAATATTGGAAATGTCCGCAGTAATTTTTTGTCCGCAAAAAATTTAAAAAAATTCCTAAAATTACCATTACACTTTTAGACGGTCTGCAATTTAAACACGACTCAGAAACTATAAGAAAAATGTCTACAACATCTTATAATGGTTATGGAATAGAGCGAAATGGAGAGGTTTGAAATTTTTATGTTTTTTAATTTACTTTATTTTGCTGTTTTTTAACCATTCTTTCTCAATGAGAAAATTAAATTAATTACAAAAAACGTTTAAAAAATTTTTAGAAATTTAATTTTTACATTTTTTACACTTAAAAAATTAATTTACACCCAAGCGGATTCGAACCCACACCCCCTTACCCCTAAAGTCAAAAACACTAACCACTTGACTATTATATTTATAAGGGAAAAATAAAATTGTTTTTGCTTCCCTTAAATTTTGAAGTCTTTTCAAATTGATAAAAAGCTATCAAAAAATTTTATATTTAATTTTTAGAGTCCACTACTTGATTGTGACAGTACTGACGTTTTTTACTGTCATTATTGTAAGTTTTTTTTATTTTAAAAATTTTTCTAAAAAAATTTTTTTCAAGGTAGCCGCTCATTTCCACGCTCTCGTATAAGTCCAACACGTCATGTAGCACAATGTAGACGTTTAAATACTAATGAAGATGGTGGTGGGGGATCGTCTTCTTCCTGTAGTGGTGCTTTGATGGAAAATTTTGGTTTTTTCTTTTAAATTTTAAATTTCACTAAAGCTCCTTTAAAATTAAAAAATTTTTTTCTAAAGAAAAAATCATGTAAAACCTTCTTAAATTCATCTTTACATTTTTTGCACTTAAAAAATTAATTTGCCTCCAAACGGGTTCGAACCCACACCCATATTTTCCTAAAGTCAAGAACACTAACCACTTGACTATCTTTTCTAGAATGTGAAAAAAAAATTTTGTTGGGGAATATTTCTGAATTCGACCCATTCATTTGTTTACCTATATTTATGTTAGGGTTCAGGCAAAATATTCCCTGGATTATGCTTCCCATTTTATATAATTGTCCGCAAAAATCAATTTTGCGGACAACTTTTCCAAATTAAGGATATTAGCTAACGAGTGTTAGAATATAATTACATGTCACAATATTAGATTTTTGGGAAGTTAATAGAGTTGTAGAGGACATTTTTATGTGTATTTTTCAAAGATATTTTCTAAAAATCCGCAAAAAGGAGTGCGGATTTTAGAGAACTTTTTTGCGGATTTTTGGGAAAAGGGCTCAAAATGGTCAATTTTCAAAGTTTTCAATTAAACATTAAAAAATAATTGCTGTTTAAAGGTTCAAATACTCAACAACGACAAAATACTCCAACTACAACAATCGACTTTTCTTCCTTAATCAATACCAATTCTTGTTCTTCAACCTCCCCAGCACCTGGAGGAATTGGTAGTGTAGACCCTACTGATCCGTATCAATGTAGTTGGTGTCAATTTAATACTTTGTACAAAGGAAATATGAAAAGACATTTAATTTGTTGCCATCAAGGTTTTTTTGAAAATTTTTGAAAAAATTTTTCTGTCCGCAAAATTTTGCGGACGAATAAATTTTTGTCCGCAAAAATTGTTAAAATTACTTTGCTTATTTTTATGGTTAAAAATCGTTTGTCCGGACTAAAATTTATGAGAAATATAAGAAAATAAGACTTGTACTTTAATTTTAATAAATTTAAATTTATTGCGGACAGAATTTGCGGGCACGTTTTTTGTCCGCAAATTTGTTTGCTTTGTTTTTTTAAATTTTTTATCTTTAGAAATAAATAATCTAACTAATAATAATCCAAATAATAAGGAAAATAAAGCATTTCCTTCAAATTTAAAATAATGGCATTTTAAAAAATATTCGAATTTTTGCGGACAAAATTTGCGGATTTTCTAAAAATTGATAAATTAATTTTTTTTCTTTATTTTTCAAGTTTCTCTCGAATCCTTAACTCATTTAAACTTCAATATTGAACGTTTACGTAGACTTTCAACTACGAGACCTTCATTAGACGAATTGCCAATATTACCACGTAGAGATGGGAAAGAGGCAAACAACGCTGCTGTTGTTGGTTTTAATAACAATGGCAACAATATTTTAAATAATATTATAATTGTTAAGGAAGAAATGAATAATTATTCGTCTCAAAATTATCAAAATTTTCAAGGAAAAAATAATTTTGTTGTTGAAGACAAAAAAAGAAAGCCTTCCTCAATTAAAAGAAAAATGACAACAACAACTTCAGAAAGACGGCATAATAAACTTTTTATACTTGAAAAACAACAAGGAACACCAACACCAACAACAACCTCTTCTACAAACAACAATAATAAAGATGATTATTGTTATACTTCAAATAGTACAATCAAATTTGCTCCATATATTTAAATTTAATTTGGGAGAGGTTATTTTATTTTTCGGTGGTAATGAGTTTTTTTAATATTTATATTTTTTTAATTTATCTTTTTGTATCAGTTGACATTTTGAAAAGTTTTTAAGGACTGGCCATTTTAAGTTTTTTTGGGGCTGACCATTTTGAAATATTTTTGAGATTGACCATTTTGTAACTTTTTTACTTATGACCGTTATGGGACATTTTTGGGTATTGACATTTTGAAGATTTTTTGACCATTTTGAATTTTTTAATAATTGACCATTTTTAAATATTTTTTTAATTTTGACTTGACCATTTTGCAACTTTTTAAAAAATCATTTAGTCAACTGAAATTTCTCGAGTTTTATTTTTACTTAACGATATTGAAAATCTTCTTATTTATATTTATATATTTTCATAGTTTTTACAAAACTAAATAATTAATATAATTCCCAGCTTCTTCTGATTGAAGGAAAAAAAATTTTTTTTGGTTAATAATTAGGGGGTTGGGGTTTTCGAGTCGGGCCGACGTTCGAATCATTTTTTCGAGCCTGCCCGACCGAGTCTTTTTTTTCATTTTTTCGGGCCAAAATTCGATGCCCGACTCGATCCTTAGGACGGACCGGGCCCCCAACCCTAGTTATAATTTACTATATTTATTTTTTTTTCTAAAATTAAAACAGGCCTTGAACACTTAAAAATCACTTGAATATTCAATATTTTTTTGTCTTTCCATTAAAATTTTGTTTTTATATTTTTTTTGACTTTTTTTAAAGTGCCTTCTCCACTTAAATTATTATATTTTTTTAATTTTGCAATAAACTATATTTTTTGACATTTTGGTCATTTTACATTTTGAAATTTTTTTCAAATTAAAAAAATTTTTTCAAAAAAATTTTTTTTTAATATTTTGTAACTTTAAGCAAATGTTGAATTTACCCTTTAATCGATTTTATCCCTTTGCTAAGATTTCCTCTAAATCAACCCTCTACTAATGTTAGCAAAACTTGTGTAGTTAGCAAAAGCTTCCCAACAGCAGCACAAATTAAAAAAAAAGGGGTTTTCCAAAAGATCACCATTTGGGTCCTTTTAAGTATTGAGGTGATCTATAGGGTGTTATTTTTGTTTTAAAGTGATCTGCTGCTAACAAATAGCCTTTTTACTTATAGCAAGAGAGTTGAGAAAAGAACAGCAGCAACCTACTAAAGCTATTAATATTATTATAAAGAAGTTTGTGAGTCAATCGCACATGTATTCAAAAAAAGGAAAAATCAATTGAATATAGATCACTCTACTTACTTTTTCTTTAAAAATTGGGGTTATTATTAGAGATCGAACTGGGAGTTTCGTACGTTAATCGAGGTCTCGAAAAATTCTCGATCGCGATAACCGATATCTTCGATTGAGATCGCGTCTCGGTCCGGTCTCTAGTTATTAGTATATATACCAGGGCTGGGCTTATTTCGAATTTCGCTTTTTATTTTTTAATTTCGCCCGGCCCTGTTATATACCCCTATATAATTAATTTTTCATTTTCTGTTCAACTTTCACCTTTCTAAAAATAACATTTTTTTAATTGATTAGAACAGCTTCTATTTTATTTTTTTGAGAACTTTCAAAAATAAAGTATGGATCAAAATAAAGAAAGACAAGTCCAACAACAACAAGGAGGAGGAGGGCAACAAGAATTGGTAATAGAAATTTTTAAAATGGAAATGTGTTTCTAAAAGTATATATGTGTAGCACCGTCTCCCTCCATTAATTTATTATTAGTCTTACATAAACTTGACTTGCAATTTTCACTCAGTTTCCAACTGGAATATCTGACGAGAGTTGACTTAGGGGGAGATAAGTAGGGGGAGTGTGTTAGAGCTTCACCGGAAGTTCCGGTCCGGAACCATAATTTCAGTTCCGGTTCCGGCCAAATTTGCGGTTCCGGTCCAGCACTAGAGTGTGTATTTTCTCTCTTTTCTCAATTTCTTTCTTATCCCACATGTACATATCTCTCATTCATATCCTTTTTTCTATATTAGCCAGTCGCTGAAATTACTTGCACTGTTCAATTTGTAAGCAATCGAAACAATCAACAGGGGCAAGCAGTTCAAGGACAAGGACAACAACAACAAAATTATGGCAATCGACAACAACATCAAAATGGAACTTGAAAAACTTGTTTAAAAATAGAAAAATTTTAAAAATGAAAAAAGTTGCCTTGAATGCCTCGAAAATTTCTTTATAAAAAATGCCTCTTTCATATATTATTTTATAAAAATTCTTTTTTTTTCTTCTTTATTATTTGTGGAGAGACGGTGCTACTAAATAAAATACTTGGGGTCGACCTACACCTCCAAGACCTACACCCTGAAGACCTATTTACCCTGAAGACCTACATCTTTTTGATCAACTCAAACTATTTATAGTAGGGGATATCGAGGATACCAGAAGATCCTCTTTATCCCTTAAATCCCTCTATCCCCCTTAATCCCTCCTAGCTCCTCTTTACCTCCTATAAATCCCCCGATTAGACTTGTAAAGAAATAAAAAATAAAAATTGTGTTGATCAAAAAGTTGTAGGTCTTCAGGGGTGGACTCAAATAAAATACTTAATTAGATCCCTTAAATAATTTTTGAAGCAAAAAAAAGTCGGAAAAATGTTTCTAAGAGACGAGAAACATAGGGGAATACAAGTAAAACTGTAAAAACTGTTTAAATTCATGCTAAACACAATGCCAAACTTTAATAATTAAATAAGGATAAATTGTCATTTTTTTAATTTTATTGTAACACAAATTAGAGAAACGGGAAAATAGTATAGAAAAATGAGAGACGGCAGAGTATACTCTCCTTATTTTACATAGTCTTTTTTATTTCTCTGCTCCAGTTAGCCTAAAAATAAATTAGGAAGAAGAAACTTTGTTTCAAGTTTTTGCTTTAACTAATTCTTGATAAATTGATGAGATGACTTTTTTCTGTTTTAAGTTAGAGACAACAGATTCTTCACAACAGATTCCTGCCAGTAAAGAAGATGAGCAACAACAGGCAATCAAGAAAAGTTGTGTTAAAGATGAAAATGGGTTTACCTATTATAAATGTCGTTTTTGTGGATTAACTTTTAACTTTATGGTAAATTAAGAAAAAAAAATTTTTTTTGAAAAATTTTTATATTTTTCAGACGACTTTAAAGGTTAGTTGGTTAATGTGTTCTCTCTCACTTTGGAATTTATTCAAGATTTTTTTTTGATTTTTTTAGGCACACGAAAGGGTCCATGATATTATTCAGGTTTTCTTTTTAATAAAAATAATTTAGAAAAAAATTTATTTTTGAAGCCGTATACTTGCAATAAATGTGGAGAAGCATTTCATTATATGTGTGAATTGGAATATCATGCAAAAAGTGAGTTAAATTTTTTGAAATTTTCTGAAAAAAATTTTTTAAGCTCATCTAACCCAAAAGGGATACAAATGTGAATGTGGACGAACGTTTTTTCAAGTTTTTAATTTTTATTTTGGGAAAGGGATCGAACCTGGGACCGAAATTATGTAAAAGTCTAAATCACTAACCACTTGACTAGAAAATTTTGGGGGGAGAAATAGGGGGAAAGGTCATTTTTGGACTAAAACCTTGTCTAGTTTAAAGATATGTAACTTTGTTGGTAATTGCTCTATAAATTTAAGCTTTATGTCAAATTAAAGAGCGAACTCTGGGCTACAAAAATGACTAAAATAAATATTTTAGTCTTTGGTTTTAAAAAAGTTGTGAATTTTTTTAGTGTTTTTGTCACTATTTTTGTTAGTTTTTAACTAGTATTTTTGTTAATAATAAAGTTTAAGAGTTGAAATAAAATTTAATGAATAGCCAAGAGTTTTCTCTATAATTTGGATTTAGTTTAAATTTGTAGCTTTATTTAAAGAAAAGTTGTGATTTTTGAAAGATGGTTGGGTGTGGGGGGGGGGGGATTTTGGGGAGTTTTTCGATTTCTAGTCAAAAAACTTTTTTTCTATTTCTTATTTTTTATTGTCTTTATTCCAGTACACCGATCTTCTTAATCATCGTCACCCTGGAGAGGACCCACCAGAACCAGCAGTTCCCCCAATACCTTCACTTGTCGAAACATTACCTCAATTAATTTCATCAGCAACTTTAAAGGCAGAAAGGGAAATGGAATTGCCGACACCAGAATTTAAAGAAAAGGGGTTTGAACCTAAGGTTCTTAGTCTAAAATTTTATTTTTAAATAAAAAAAATTTTTTTTTAAGTATCAAAATCGTGTATGGACTGATATTCGTTCAAAGCCGTATATTTGTCAATACTGCTCTAAGGTAAATTTTTATTTTGGTTTAAAACGGTGGGAAAAAATTTTAAATTGATCAAAAATTTTTAAAAAAATTTAGAAATTTAATTTTTATATTTTTTACACTTAAAAAATTAATTTACACCCAAACGGGCTCGAACCCACACCCATTTACCCCTAAAGTCAAAAACGCTAACCACTAGACCATTGTTTTTATAAGGAGAAAATGAACTTGTATTTGCTTCCCTTAAATTTTGATGCTTTAAAAATGGATAAAATGGTTCGGAAACGTCCAAAAATTATAAAATTTTGGATTAGTGCTCTTTAAGGAAGTATTTATTAAATTACATAATTTGGGAATTTTTGGGTGAAAAATTTTTAAAAATTTTTTTTTAATTTTTTTTAATTTTTTTGTAGAGTTATTCAGACAGTCGGTTGGTTTAATTATTAAAATTAAATAAAAAAATTATTTGTTTTAATTTAAAAAGGCAATTAGCCTACCATATGTATAGCCATCGTGGAGAGAGAGCATTTAATCCAAGGGCCAGTCGTTATTTGATGTGCAGAAACGAGTTAATTTTTTAAAAAGAAAATTTTAGAAATTTATTTTTAAAGGAATTCCTACATATCTTCTGGAATTGATCTTAAAGATGCTTAAGCGGAGTGATAGTTGTTTGGTGTTTTTAAAAAAAAGAGAGAGAAAAAAAACAGTGAAAAACAATGTTTTATTTAGAAAATATAAAGGATAAAAAATTAAAACTTGGTCAAGTTTTATTTTTGTTTCAAGTTTGCAATTCAAGTTTTAAGTTGATTTTTAAGTTTGTGCTTGATATTTTGTTTATTTTTTCAAGTTTGTTTTCAAGTTTGTTTTTAAGTTTATTTTCAAGTTTATTTTTAAGTTTTATTTTTCAAGTTGTATTTTTCAAGTTTGCGATTTTAAGTTTATCCTTAAGTTTCAAGTTTGTGCTTCAAGTTTTGTATTTCCTTCAAGTTTATTTTTCGATGCTTCAAGTTTTTAGTACTAACAATAAGAAATTTAACTAATTTATATTGAGACTAGAATTTATTACAAAAATAGAGTATTTTTATTAGAGATTTTATTTTATTGCTTTTATTCTCAATTAAAATCCGTATTTATTTATAATTCAGTCACTTCATTAACTGTTGTATTTGAAGCATTATTTGCATTTTCATAAGCTTTTTGTTTCTGCTCTTCTATAAATTTAAAAATATTTGAGGGACTACGGCTGTCTGTTGAAGAATTCTTCCCTTGATTTATAGCATTTGAAATTTCTGTTAATGATAAATCTGAAATGAAAAAAGAGGAAAATTATTTTTAAAACTTGAAACTTTTCAAGTTTGAACTTAAAAAGCTGGAAGTTAAAGATTCAAGTTTTTTTTAAGTTTGTGCTTCAAGTTGAATTTTACGTTTTGCTTCAAGTTTGAGTTTTAAGAGTGTGTTTCAAGTTTTTTTTAAGTATGTGCTTCAAGTTTGAATTTTAAGAGTGTGTTTCAAGTTTTTTTAAGTTTGTGCTTCAGTTTTATTTTAGGCTTGCTTCAAGTTTGAGTTTTAAGAGTGTGCTTCAAGTTTAATTTTACGTTTTTCTTAAAGTTTAATTTTATGTTTGTGCTTCAGTTTACTTTAGATTTTGCTTAAAGTTTTTTTTAAAGATTGTGCTTTATGTTTGAATTTAAGATTTGCTTCAAGTTTTTTAAGTTAGTGCTTCAGTTTTATTTCTACGTTTTGCTTCAAGTTTGAATTTTATGATTGTGCTTCAAGTTTAATTTAAAAAATATTATTAGCACCTATAGAAGAATTGTCAGCAGTATCTTCAAATTCAGTACGATGCCCAGAAGGTGTGCTACTTTGACTTAATTGCCCCCCACCGCCAAGTTGGATTCGACTTAAACTTTGTTGTCGTTGAGGCAGTCGGTAATGTCGACGTTTTTTGTGTGTTGTTAAAGGATCAGAATCTCGAAGTAAAATTGGGTTACTAAAAGCGTCTTCTGGTGGTTTGCTAGCACTTTAAATTTGAGGGGAAAATGTGTATAAAATTAAAAATAATTATTAAACTCTATTATGTCCTCAAAATCTTCAGCTTCCTCATCTACAATAAAGTTGGGTGGTTTTTGTTGTATCATCATCAATTCTGCCTGTTAATATTCGAGTTTAATTTTAGTTTAAAATTTTTTTTTGTTTCAAGTTTTTGCTACAAATTTTTTTGTTTCAAGTTTTTGCTACAAATTTTCTTGTTTCAAGCTTTATTTCTTAAGTTTCAAGTTTATGCTTCTAATTTTGTTTCAAGTTTTGATTTTTAAGTTTCAAGTTTGCTTCAAAATTTTTTGTTTCAAGTTTTTTTTGTTTCAAGTTTTATTTTTATGTTTCAAGTTTTTGCTTCAAATTTTCTCATGTTTTTGCTTAATTTTTTTGAGTTTATTTTAACTAGTTGCTTCAAGTTTATTTTTTAAATTTTTGTTTATTTACTTCAGAATCCTGATCATCATAGTGATTTCTATTCAATATTTCCATTCCGCTATTCTCCATAGTTGGAATATCCAAAGAACTTCCCTGGAAGAGTAACTGCTTTTTTGCTGCTTTCTTATCCCAAAGTGTATTATCGTCTTCAACAAACTGAAAACAAAATTTTTTAAAAATTTTCTCGAAATTTTGAGGACCTCAGGTGAAGGTAGTCTAATTTCTTTATATTCATCACTAATTTTACGCCGTGCTGAAGCTTTAAAAAATAAAAATGTTTCGAAGATTGAAATTATTTAAAATACCAATTATATCGTCTAAAGTAACTGAACTGCTTAACCCGCTTGCTTGACTTGTTTGGCTTACAGCCGGACTTGTTATTGTTGGTGGTTGAATGGTTGGCATAAGAGAACCATTCGGAATTGATTCTCGGTTGGTTTCTGGGTAAAAAAGAGAAAGATAAAATATTTAAGTTTGGGAGAAGCAGCTTTTGTTTCAAGTTTTAATTTTTAAGTTTCAAGTTTTATTTTAGTGTTTCAAGTTTTAATTTTTATGTTTCAAGTTTTATTTTAGTGTTTCAAGTTTTAATTTTTAAGTTTCAAGTTTTTTGTGTCAAGTTTAATTTTAGTGTTTCAAGTTTTAATGTTTATTTTTAAGTTTTTTTGTGTTTCAAGTTTAATTTTATGCTCCAAGTTTTACTTCTAAGTTTCAAGTTTTATTTTGTGTTTCAAGTTTTATTTTTAACTAAAATGCTTCAAGTTTGCGCATTTCTTCATTTTCCGATATAATTCTAATTATATTTCATATGTTTATTTTTTAACTAACTATTAATATTTTCATTTGCCGTAGTTGTTGCCATTTTAACATTTATTGGCGTCAAAGCATGTCTCTTTAAATTATCACGAATAAAGCTTAACCGCCGCGCATGAAACTTTCCACAATTTAAATTACACCATTCTTCTTTTGTACAATAAATTGAAGGAAGCGGACTTTGTTGCATCATTTGCCGATACATTTTTTAATTTTAGATTTTTAATGAAATGTTTTTTCAGTAGCAGGCGGTTTTAATTATTCAAAAACGAACTTGAAGCAGGCGGAAATATTTTATTTAAAAATTAAATAAACTTGAAGCAAGTTTATTTTTCTGCTGTTGTTGTTAAAACTTTGTCTAACATTTTTGTAAACTTCAAAACTTTGAGATTGCAAAATTAAAAGAAACTTGAGATTGAACTTAAAAATAAATAAACTTGAAACAAGTTTATTTTCCTTTTTTATTAAAACATGTTTTTATTTTTTGAAAACTTGAGATTGTAAATTGCGAGAAACTTAAGATTGTACTTAAAAATAAGTAAAATTAAAACAAGTTACTGCGAGAAACTTAAGATTGAACTTAAAAATAAGTAAACTTGGAACAAGTTTATTTTCCTTTTTTATTAAAACATGTTTTTATTTTTTTTAAACTTGAGATTGTAAAATTGCGAGAAACTTGAGATTGTAATTATTTAATATTTTATTGGAGAATATTTATTATATTTAAAAAGAAGCCTTAAAAATATTGTAAATGAAGAAAAATAAAATGAAAGAGAAAAGCTAAAAAGGGAAGCTATTTTGAAGAAGCGTATGTGTGTGTCGTATAAAATAGGCTAACATTAAATATAAAAATGTTTTAAAAAATATATTACAGAGAATATGACGATAAAAAAAGATTAATATTAAGGGAGATGAGAGATAAAAAAAAAATATTTTTAAATAAATAATAATTTTTTTACATTGACGATGCTTATATAATAAATAACTAATTATTTTAAAAAGAAAAATATTTTTTTAAATCTTTTTTTAATTCTACATAAAGGGGGAATGTTATTTTTCAATCTCTTTTTAAAATTAAGAAAGGGAGAGAGAAAAGACGACACTCGTATTTAAATTTTAGGATTAGAAAATTTTTTTTTAATAAATTAAAAAGTGTAAGATAATAAAGAAGATACTGTTAAATATAAAAAGAAAATTTTTTAGAAATTTTAAAAATTGAAAAAAAAAATTTTATTTAAAAAAATTAAAAAATATTAATAGAAGATACAACATAGGTATGTAAACATGTTTTGAAAATACCTATTATGATTTGTTTTGAATTAATTCTGATTTTATTTGTGTTTTAGAAAAATTCTGATTTTATTTAAACATGTTTTAGAAAATTCTGATTTTATCTAAACATGTTTTAGAAAAATTCTGATTTTATTCATGTTTTAAAAAAATTCTGATTTTATCTAAACATGTTTTAGAAAAATTCTGATTTTATTCATGTTTTAAAAAAATTCTGATTTTATCTAAACATGTTTTAGAAAAATTCTGATTTTATTCATGTTTTAAAAAAATTCTGATTTTATTCATGTTTTAAAAAAATTCTGATTTTATTCATGTTTTAAAAAAATTCTGATTTTATTTAAACATGTTTTTAAAAAATTCTGAGTTTATTTAAATGTTGTGAACATATTCTGATTTAATATATCCATGTTTTGCATGAATTCTGATTTTATTTAGTAAACAAGGACACAAATAATAACAAAACAATTAATTGGTCCAAGTTTTTGATTGACCATATTTTGAATTTCACACCTTTTTGGCGTTGTGTTTTTATAAATTAAAATGACAATTAATCCCACAGTACAGTTGAGTCTTATTTATGTTAAATTTTTTTATTTTTGTATAATTTTTTCTTGTTTTTCTTGTATAAATTTTAAAGATGCTTTTCTTGTTTAACTTTGACTTCGTTGTTTTTTACAATTTATATATTGATATTTTTGTTTATATTTTTATAGAATATTTCTCTTGAGCTTTTTGGAGCGTTTGTTCATTAATCTCATTAAATTCAATAATTTAAAGATGGAAAATGTTGACAATGTTGGTTGGCAAGAATTTGTGTCTAAGAGGACATTAAAAAATGAAAAGGTTTTTTTACCTTAATTGTGACGAATAGCTAAATAGGAATTTTTATAATTTTCTAATTTACTTGCCCTCGGGAAAAAATACCAATAAGTAGGTTTGCTAGTAGGTAGTCCAGTGTGCTGGCAATGTCTAGTGTGCTGGCAATGAGTCCGATTCTGTTCCGGATATTGGCATAGAATTTGTTCGGTTCGAGTCACTGGCCTTCTGACAGACCCCAAAAATGTCGAAAAAGTACTTTCTGATTTATTTTTGCCCTGTTTTTTCACTAGGAGTAAACTAGAAGCTTCCCGAATTTCTAATGTAAAATAATTTTCTACTAATTTAGAAGGCAAAGGAAATTGCTGAACAGAAGAAGCCTTCAACGTCAAAGTTTAATGCCCGTCAATCAAATCGTGGAGGTGTTCAAGGATCTTTTGTGTCTAGAGGAAATTCGAGAAAGGTTTAATAAGAATTTTTGTAAAATAATTTACTGAGAGTTTAGACTGAAAACACAATTGTTGACAAGAACAACCCGCCAAAACCGGTTCAAACAATATCAAAGGTTGTTGGGTCCACAGTAAAGAAATCTACAAATGAGAGCAGTTTTGTTCAAGGTTGTTCTTATTCATCAGTGGTTATGTCTTTAAGCAAGTCTGAAAAGGTTTATTTTCTTTAAACGAAAATCAAATTAAAACAATTTTCATATTTAGCCAGCTAAGATCACAATTGTTAGTCAGGAGCAACTTTCACCCTCAAATTCTAATGGCAATGATTTGGAGGCAAATAAATCTGCAAGTTCTGGTCTTGGCGAAGATGGAATAAAACCGAATGGACACTTGGATAATTTACAAGCTGAAGCAGAGGAAGGAATTGATAATGTTGTCGAGGTTAGATTTTTTAAAGTTAAAAAATTTTTGGAAAAAAATATATATATATTTCTTTTTCGGACTCTTTGAATGTTCCGATTTTCTATTTTTTATATCGTTTGTGAAGACTTAAATTTAGGATCATCGTCCTCCTAGTGGAGATTCTGGCATCTCTAGCTCGGATTCATTTACGCCTATGCTACCTTTGGATCTTAGACAAATCAATCTCTTTGGCTTCAATTACCCACTCCAATGTACAAACTATGTTAATGAATATCTGTCTGCTCAGTTAAACAACCATGAAAATGACATCTTTGTGGTTTTATTTCACAATTTTTTCTCCTTATTTATATTTAGAACGGGCAAAAAGTTTATGAACATCCTAATGAATTCATCAGAGACGCGAAAAAGTTTTTCAACGTTGCGAACAGGATCCTAACCTGCGAATGTGTATTGCTTTAATTAAAATTATTTTGCACTTTATTTTTTTTAGTGCTGGGGTGCCTTCAGTCTGGCTGTTAAATTATTATTCAAAGATTTGAAGATCAACTTTACTACACACAACGCTGGTTTTAAATTGGCTTTTTTGGGTGCGAGATTTTCCATAGAAGGACCTTTCCTCGGTTCAGTCATTACCTTAATGAATCGGTAATTTTATGCATTAAGTTTTTTCTGATCTTGAATTGGTTTATGGGTTTCACACGACCACCAAATATTTTTCGGACTTTAATTTAAAAAATTTTTTTGTTTACTCTAGAACAGAGTTGAAATTTTTAACACAATTTTTTTTAATCTTTAGTGACCATCAAAACTTCTATTCTGGAGTGGCTAGTAGAGACGATGTTTTTGAATTCATCGACAATGTTAAGGAGTTCGCTTACTATTTTGGGCTGATTAATGCGAATGATGTATGGAATTATCTTAAAAATTATCTCCCCAAGGAACCTGGAGATACTTCATTTCATAGAGGAATTACTTTTGAGAAGAAGAACAAGTTCACAGATGGCATTTTTGGAAGGATTTTTGAATTTGAATATACTGCTTCTATTCCGAAAGTTTGGTAAACACGTTTGTTAAGCTAGTATTATGATTGTTTTTATAGTTATTTGACATCTTTCTAGGTATTTCATTTAATTTCCAAAAAAATAGTTAATTTTCTCAAAAATTTTTTTCCAATATTTGTCCTTGCATATATTTATAGGGACCTCTTTTTCTCTTTGATTTTGTGTCTTTATTGTTTTTCTCAATAACAAAAGCCACAAATATTTATTTATTTTTACTTAAAAGTTTTTTTAGACAAATACCTATTTATTTTTTTCCACAAATTTATAAACTTCAAAAAATATATACCTATTTTTATTTGACTTTCATTTTGTGTCTTTATTGTTTTACTCATATAAGGACCTCTTTTTGACTCTGATTTTATGTCTTTTTTTTATAAATACTTACAAATTTTTTTCAAATAATTTTCTAAAAATAAAATCTTTAATTTTTTTTTAATTTTTTTGAATTTGTTTGAGAACAATTTTTTATTTTTTTGTTAATTTTCTTCTTTTTTTTAATATCGAATTTAGGGGAGTTCTTATTTTTGCTTCTAAAACGATTTTTTTCTTAATCAAAAATGGATTTGTCTCTAATAAAAATTATTGAAACTTTAAATGTTGACGCCGTTCAGGATTCAATTACTTCATTAAAAGATAAAGGGTATTTTTTAATTTTATTTTTTAAAGGATTTTAAGTCCTTTTGGCTGCAAATACAAGGTTTTTTCGACTGTCTTTTTTTTCGCAGTATTTTAACTTGCGACAGAACTTGCAGACCTTTTCAAATTAATTGTTATACTTGCCAAAAATATTTTTTATTGATTGGTTGAATGTCGAAAACCGTGAGGGCATTCCATCAATTTTTGTACTTATCAAAGTAATTTAATATGATTGACTGAACACCAACAAGCAAACCAAGGGAATAATTTAGGAAAAAGTCCGCAAAAAACCCTCGTCTTTTTTACGTATACTAATTTTCTTATATTTTTTAGAACAGATTTGGAACGTATAAAATCATCAATTGAACGTGTTTTGCGTACTAAAGCTTTGGAATTTGGACGTTCAGATATTCCTGTTGCAGATGTTGAAGCTTTTGTAAAATTTGTTATTGGATTGGCAGAAAAGGATATCGGAGTTTCTAAAGAAAATGATAAAGACAATAGTATATTTATTATTTTGGGGGATTTTTAAATGTTAATATTTGTGGGAATTTTCAGGACGGTTTATTTTTTGACGGGCTTAATTTGGGGATATGATTTCCTAGGTTTTCTCTATCGTCAGACATTTTGGTTTGATTGGGTTATTTACAAAAATATTCTACTTTAGTTAAGCTTAAATTTATTGAGAACTTTCTGAATTATTGTTTTGTTTTTGGGAAATTTATACCCAAATTAACCTTTTATCCAGTTCTAGCCCAAAGATTCTATCCCAAATTCTATCCAATTTCCTGATATTTATATTAAACTTATAGAATTCATTTCCCTATTTATTTTTCAGAAATTTGCACAAAAACGTTAACAATTCAAATACTTCAAGACATTTTTGATGTTTCTACAACTCAACGATGTGAACAACTTTTTGGAATTATTGAAAATAATATTCATATTTGGAAAACGGTTAATTTATTTTTTAAAGAATGCTTTTTTGGCTATTTTGAGAAAAGAAGGCCACCGCCAGTTGTTTAAGATTTTAGAGGGGGTTGCATCCCAAATAATTGAATATGTAGAAATAATGCACGCTCACAATAGAGGTTGGCAAAATATCACTTCCGGTCTCCAGAGTTGGGATGGATTTTTTCTTAACCGATGCCGGGCCGGGATCCCGAGGTATAAATCCCGGATCCCGGAAAATCCCGTTGGGATCCCGTCCCGCGCCGACCTCTACTCATAATCAGCATCATTCAACTTTTATTTCCAAATCTTTTATTAGATTTGAACTCATGTGATTTTGGACGAATTTTTTTTATTTTTTGCTTCCTAGTTGATAGGAAATGTCTAGTTGTTGTGTCCAACTTCTAGAATAGTTCTTTCCTCAATCATCTTTTGATTGCTTCATTCCTTTAAGAATTTGCCTCTAAAATTTGTCTAAAATACTAATTCAAAAGTACCTCACATCAGCCAGATTTTATTTAAATTATTAATTTTTTAACATTATTCTTCCCCTTTTTCCAGCCATTCTTCTTTTCTTCATGCAAAAATATGATTTTACGTCTATGCAATGATTTACTTAAACGACTTTCTCGTTTTATTGATACAACATTTTGTGGACGTATTTTAATACTTTTGGCTAAATCTTTACCTTTAAATGAAAAATCTGGATTAAATTTGCCTGGACATTTTAATACACAAAATGTTACTGTTTTTGATAGAGAAAAGGTTTTTTTGTTTTTTTTTATTAATTATAGTGTTCCTAGACCCTTTGGTTTTAGAAATTCGTGGTTTTTCATTTAAAAATCCTTTTAGGGTCGGCTGAGAATTTTCGTTAATTTTTTGATGTAAGAGAGTGATTTTGACTTTGGTTCATTTAAGTTCGATGCAATAAACCTTACAATTAGCTTTAAAAAATTTTTTAGTGTCGACCAGAGTTTTGGCTGATTTTTGTTTAGAGAGTAATTTTTATTCTTCATTAGGACTATAAAATAATTTTCCAATCATTATGGAAGCTTTTGAAAATTTTCTTTTCTCTCGATGGATTTTACGCCATCCGAGATAGTCCTCTTGTTTCCGTGTTGCTCCCAAATTTTATAAGTGGGATCATTTATAATCCGGGTTAGTCTTAAGAGGCATACTAGTTGCTTTTTAGCAATCTGAAATAATTCTTTTTATTTAAAGAAAGATCAACATCCACAACACGAAGAAAACGAACAACGTATGGAAGAAGGACCAGAAGAGCCTCCACAACTTCCATCAGTTTCTTCAACTGCTGGAGGAGTAGATGATGATATAGAAGTTGGGGAAATTAGAGATCATCGGTACATTTTTTTGAATTTTTTTATTAAAAATTTATTTTTTGTAGAGATTCATTTGGAGGAACAATTCCAATGGATTATAATTTGTATTTCAATTTTTGGGATTTGCAAAGATTTTTTTCTAATCCAAATTTGTTGTTTGAAAATGATAATTTTACAAAATTGGAAAATGTTTGTTTTTTAGTTAGAAAATTAAAAATTTTTTAGGATATTTCTAATGTTTTTGCATTATTTTCTGCTTATAAAATTGAAAAACCACAACGTCAGGAATGTTCTGGTGATGTTGGTTCTCCCCAACATGGAAAAGTTTATAATGATTTCAACAACAAACATGAGGTAAATTGAATTAAAACTTTGTTTGTTTTAAATTCTGAAATTAAATTCTGATTTTTTAACAAAATAAATAAAATCAGAATTCAATTAAAACATTTTATAAAAATCAGAATTTTTTTAAAAACATGTTCAATAAACAAAGCCAAATGTTTCTAAAAACATTTTAAATAATAAAACCAGAATTCTTACAAAGCGTGTTAATATAAAATCAGAATTCATAAAAACATGTTTTAATAAATCAGAATTTTTTCAAAACATGTTTAATAAAACCAGAATTTTTTCAAAACATGTTCATATTAAATCAGAATTTTTGCAAAACACGTTTTGTGAAAAAACCAAAACTTTTACAAAACATGTTTAAATAAATATTCTAGCATCAGAATTCATTCAAAACATGTTTATATTAAATCAGAATTTCTCTAAAACATTTTTAATAAAAAATCAGAATTTTTTAAAAACATGTTTAATAAAATCAGAATTCCTACAAAACACGATCAATATTATAAATAAAATCAGAATTTTTTCACAACATTTTATTTAAAACAATCAGAATTTGTATAAAACATATTTTCCACTACAAAATCAATTAAATTTAATTAAACAAAACTTATTTTTTAAAGAATTCAATGGAAATAGATTATGATTGTGATAATAAAAATGATATTAAAATGATTAATTTGGACGACAAAAATTCTGAAAATTCCTTCAAAAATAATTCAAATATTGGGCAACGTTTAAATGTTGATTTATCTGAACGGACATTTTGTGCTAAATATTTGACTAGTGAAAAGGTTTTTTTGAAGAAAAAAAAATTTTTTTTTAATTTTAAAATTTAGTAATAAATTTATTTTTTAGTTATTTCCTTTTCAAATGTCCGATTCACAATTTCGACGTTATTTTCTTCTTCAATTTTTAATTATTAGCAATTATTTGGCTTCTAGAACGAGACCAAAAGAGTTTGGAATTTTGTAAAAATTTATTTTGAACAAAATTTTTTTTGAAATTTATTTTTTAAATTTTAAATAAATATTTTTATAGAGCGCTAGAATTGAATTCAACTCAAGAAGAAACATTACAAGGTTTAATGGATAAATGTTATAATCTGTTGAGGGAGACTTATCCAAATGGATCTCGTTTTGCTTCTTCTGTTAAGGTTTTAAAATAATTTTTATTTTTAATTTTTGATTATTGCAATCTCATTCCTGTTTATTGTCAATATTAGGTACTCATAAATTGTTAAAGACAGCATTTTTGGCACAAACTTTGACCAATTTTAAAACAAGCTTCAACTCCGGACGGAGCCGACTAACTCCCGACTAACTCCCAAAGTCAAAGGAAAGTAAAGTTAAGAAAAGCGACTTGTTTTTTTCTACTGGTTAAGCTACATTTTTTAGATTTGTTCGGTCACTGTCTTGTTGTTGAATCAACAATACCTCCCAATTAAAATACACCTAATTATGAGTTATAATTTTCTCTTTCTAAGAGATAACCAAAAATTGAGAAATTTTTTCTTTAAATTTTAGAAATTATTACTTCGAGAAAAGCAATGGTGTTCTTGGAAAGCTGATGGTTTTCCTGATTTGTTTAATAATACCAACATACAATCCTCCTCTTCAAGTGATGATATTAAATTTGAAAGAAAACAAATTTCTACGCGTTATGTCGCTAATTCTATTGATCTTGGAAATTCTGGTTTTTTTTTATTTAATATCCTCATTACTCCTATTTTTGAGTTTTGAGATTAATCTTGATGAATTTTTTGTTTTTCCAAAGGGACAATCAAAGGAAAGTTAGAAAAGGCGACTTGTAATTTTTTTCTATCTTTTCATTTTAGCCGTGGTTATTGAGTTTGGTACACATATCATTCATATGTATATGTTTTTTTAAATATTTTAACCAGTTCAATCTCTTTGGATCTTGTCAGTTTCTCTATTCCTTAAAAGAATTGGATTTTTTTACAACTCTCTAGCTTGTCCCTCCAATCTTTCATTTTCTTGTTTTTCAATTTTATCAAGTGATATATCTTTTTGATTTAACTTTTACCCATTTTGATCGACAACAAGGTAAAGGATTAATCTTGAAACTCTAAATAGGGGTGTGAGGTAATATATGAAAAACGATTAAAACTAAAAAATTTTTCAGAATTAACACGTTTATGGACAATAGAAAAGGATAATTTAACGGCTTGCAAAAATGTTAAACGTAATTGTATTCCAAATTTGAAAGGTTTTTTGGAAGAAGCATTGGATGAATTGGATCCAGAACAACAAGTAGAAGAAAAATATCAGTCTGTAAATGATGAACATTATCAATGGATGGCTAGTAGATTTTTATTAATGAATAGTGATCAACATATAGTTTGTTGTTTTTTTTAATTTTTTTTAAATTTTGGGGTAAACAGTAAGAGAGTTGGCAGATCCGGAAAGAAAATAGACCGAATATCCTGAATTTTCAGATTGAATCCGAATATACAAGGATTTCCCAGGATAGCCAACTCTAGATAAGAGAGAAGTCTAGGTCCGGGAAGGTAACGATCCTGTGTCCTTAAGGTAGTTATTCCTAGGCACTTTCGCTCACCACCTACAGTCGCTCTACCGATAGGGGCGCTGCTTTTTCCTACTTTTTTTAAATAAATTTTAAATCCCCGTCTAGTAAGTGTTTTAAATGTTACCACATTTAAATGTTGTTTTTTACATGTTTTTTTTGGTTACTTCTCTTTGGTTCACTACGAGCTCGCGTGGTAGACTAGTCTTGCTTTGTGAATTTATTTTTGGAATTATTTTTTGTAAAATTTATTTTTGGGAAGCAAATCACTTTTTAACTTTAATTTAATTAAGAAAATTTTTTCCTTTAAAGAATCATGCTTCACAAGACGCCAATATGAAAATGTTTGAAAAACCTTCAGAAAAGGATGCTATAGCTGTTTTTCTAAGAAGATCTATACAAGTAGCTGCAGAAAATGTTCCGGTATTTTTTAAAATAATTTTCTGAATGTTTTTTTATTTTCTAGGAATTAAAATCAAGAGCTCAACAAATTCAAGCATCAATAGAAAAAATTAAAAAACAAGAAAATGACCGATTGGAAGAACAAGCTAGAGCTGCAAAAGAATTGGAGATAGCTAAAGCAAAAGAATTGGAATTGGCAAAAGTAAGGGAAATGGAATTGAGATTGAAAGAAGAAAAAATTAAAATACAAGAGAAGGAACAACAACGAGCTTTGCAAGAAGATTTGTCAACTCGAAGTATTTCAAAATCTAATAATAATAATAGTAAGGAGGGGGAACGAAGAGGAGGAGGAGGAAAAGATAAAACAACAACAACAACAACAAAAAATGAATTGGAACAACAAAGACGAGGAAGAGAAGAAGAAAGAAGAAGGAAAAGAAGAGGTGGAGGAGGAAATGAAGTAAGCAGTGGAGGAAGAGGAAGTGAAGGTGGTGGAAGAGGAGGAAAAGAAGATGAAGCAAAGAAAAGAAGGAGTGAAGAAAAACGAAGAAGCAACATTGAATCAAGTAAATTATAAGTTGAAATTTTTTAAATTTAAATTTTTTTGTGAAGTTAATTTTAAAAGGAGAGACATTTAATATGGTTAATTTTTTCCTCAAAAAAATTTTTTTTTCCTCAAAAAATTTTTTTTATTATTATATTAAATTTAGCCTTGAAAATATATATAAAAAAAAAGAAAAACAAGCTAGAAAAATAAAACAATAAATCCATTTTGAAAAAAAATTTGGGGAAGAGAGATTTAAAAAATAAGCCAAATAAGGAGCCAAAAAAATTAAACACGCAGAAAAGAAAAAAAAATTTTTATTTTGGATATATAAACATAAATATAGTGTAGGGCTTTTTTGTTCTAGCGGGGGTGATTGAATAATATAATCATCTTTACCTACATAATTTTAGTTAAAAAACTGGTTTTTGTTTAACTTATTAGCGGCTCTTCCAAAAATAAAAGATGGGTTTGTTAACAAAAAGTGAGCCAGAAAGCCCCTCTCCTTTTTTGGGTGTCCACAGTCCACATCTTTTATTGTTGTCCATTCATGTCTGGGTGAATTATTTTTAGGGGAAATATTTTTTATGTTTTGTCCACAGATTACTTTTTTTGTTTAAAAAACAACTAAAAATGTAAAAAAAAAACTTCTTCATTTATAGAGAAATGGATAATTTGGGAGGGGCTAGTTTTTAGAAAAATATTAAAAACGGGTTAAAATTAGTTTAGTTAGCCCACCCCCAGATTTTTGTCTCATTTTATTAATTAGAATAAAGATAATTTTTTTTATTTTTAGATTTTTAAAAATTTTTTAAAGAATATTTTGGAAAAAAATTTTTTTATTGACTGAGAAAATTTGTTTTTTTTAGGCAATTTGGTCTCAATATAATTTATTTAGAAACTAGGTAAAATAAATAATATCTTGTTTTTTCAACTTGTATTATATTCCTTTACTTTTCCCTCGCAAAAATTTTTACGTGAGAAACATGGATATAATAATTTTAGGTAGATGGAGAATAAATAAACCCCTTTAGCGATCACAACAATGAACATGTCACTCAAAAACCTTTATTTTCCTTCCCTCAAAATAAGATTTTTTACTCCTTTTTTTAAATTTATATATTAATTAATAATTGTGTGGACATGAAAAAAAAAGAGAAAGATTTTTATCTTTTTAGCGCTTAATTATTGCGTTAATCAAAAATCAAAATTAAAAAATCAGAATTTTTTGGGCTAATATTCATTAAAAAATTAGTTGTTGTAATTTACCTCAAACATTTATTTCAACATTCATTTATGTTTTTATTATACCTATGTTTGTATCATGTACAAAAACCAGAATAAATGTTGTTTAAATAATTTGTTGTTTTTCTTTTTCTAAACATTTGTTTTTACAAATTTTATTATTTTTTAAAAAACATTTTAGCTTCAAACAAACATGTTGCACAAACATTTGTTGCAAAAACATTTGTTGTACAAACATTTTTATTTTTATTATGTTGTTTTGTTCATCATCTCAACAACAACAACATGTTTGGCAATGCAAATACCTTGTGGGAAAAGTTTTTTCCCATGTTTTGGAGAAAAAGAGGGAACAACAAAACAACAAACAAACACAAGAAAACTTTATGGAATTACAATACATCAAGATGCTAAAATTTCTGATCAAACATTGCGTACAGCAGCAAAAGAAGCACATGAAGAAACTGATGTTTTGTATAATGAATCGGGCGTAAAACAATTGTTGGATTCGAGTAAGTTTTGTTTTTAAGTAAAATCAGAATAGCAAATAATTTCAGAATTAAATTTAAACATGATTATTAATAGACCAGAAAAACAATGTTTATATTCTAAGAAAAACATGTTTTTTATGATTTCAGAATTAAATTAAACATCAGAATTAAAAGGGAAACTTGTGAACAATAATAAGAAAAACATGTTTTTCAGAATTAAAACTAAACCTAATCAGAATTTAAGTAAACCAGAAAAACATTAGTAATCTATGTCAGAATAGCTATGTTTTTATAAAATCAGAATCACTCAAACCTTTTCAGAATTTAAATTAAACATACAAATCAGAATAAAAATTAAACATTAGAATTAAAACAAAGCTTGTTTAAAACATTTAGTCTATTGGAAACATTTTTTAAGGAAACCCATTGTCTGCTTCATTAATGCAATATAGTAGGATGCATCCACTAACTGAGCGAGGAAAGCTGGTAAAATTTTAAAAATTTAAATTTTTAATTTAAAAAATTTATTCAGTTTAGTCAATATGCTTATGTTGCACTTGCTTTAAGTCGCCGTCTTTCCCAAAAAATGACATCGACAACAATGCAGGGAACGGCTGCTTCAGTTCCATCACACACACTTTTATTACATTCTCCAGGGCTGTTGGCACGAGTTAAAAATAGTACATCACTTGGCAAAGAATGTCCAACAGATGCAGAGGCACATTGCCCAACTAGTAGTTCACAACTTTTTCGTTCACTTTCTGGTAATTTTTTTTATGATGAGTAAATTTATATTGAAAAACATTTAAAACAAACATTTTACAAAACCAGAAAAACATGTAAACAATTAAATATCTAATGGGTAAATAAACATGTTTTTAAAAAATCAGAATTACACAAACAATTTCAGAATTAGAATTAAACAAATACAAATCAGAATAAAACATTTAATAAACATGTTTTGGATCAGCCAAACATTTTTAAAAATGTTTAAGACTTTTACAAATGTTTTGGAAACATTTACAAATGTTTGGGAAACGTTTATAGATGTTTTGGAAACATAGATGTTTTACAATTTAACAAGTTATAAAAACATTAACAAATGTTTTTGTAAAATTGAAAAAATAAATGTTTTTGTAAAATTGAAAAAATTTACAAATGTTTTTACAACTCCAAAACATTTACAGCTGCCTTCCCGAAACATTGTCAAATGTTTCTATAGCTTAAAACATTAACAAAACATTTTCTAAAAAAACATTTTTATAAACATTTTACAACTTGTTTTTACAATTTAATTGGAAATGTTTGGAAACATTTTACAATTTGTAAAAACTTGTTTAAACTTTATATAGGTCAGTGTAACAATGTTCGTCGCCCATTTATCGGTGCAGCAGGCCAACCATTATCACGCCTTTTTCCTTCTCCTACTTATGCTGACAATGGATTGGAACCAAGAAGACAAATTTCTCAGTTTGGAGGAGGAAGTGATGCTGGGGGTGGTGGAGAATTGCCTTCTGTTCGTCAAATTTCTTTAGAACTTTTTCAAAATCCAAAAGAAACAAATCCTTTTGGAGTAAACGAAATTGTTGCTTATTGGCTATATTTTGTTGGATCTGATTTGGTTAATATTGCACCTAATCAATGTTTAATTAAAGGTTTTTCACTTTTTTTTGAATTTAAAATTTATTTTTTTTCTGGGAATTTTTCGACTTTATTCTTATTTTTTATTTTATTTTTCTTTATTTTCACTCCTAACAACTATATCAAAAGGTGACTAATTTTTGGATAGGTGTTCCATTAGGACAGGACTCCCACCTTCTTTTAAACTTTTGTTGAAAGACTTCAAGTCTTTCGAGTCACTAATCAAGTTCTCAAACTTGTTAACTTCCCATAATTTTTTCTGATTGATATTTAGTTGCCAAAATTTAAGGAGGGATAAAAAATATAAGCATGAACTTCTTAAAGTTTTTTAAATTCACAAAAAATTTTCTGTTATTTTAAAGGAACTTCTGTTGCTTTTCCTTGCTGTACTCCTGGTTTTGCCCATGCTGATTGTGATCCTATTGATATACCTTCTAGTGATCCGATATATGGGTATGTTTTTTTGATTATTAGAAAAATTTTTCGTTTCTTCTAGACCAGCTCATATAACCTGTATTCCACATTCGCGTACTTTACCTGCTCCGCGTGATCAATGTGCTTTAGGTCCTAGAGAACAAGCCAACCATGTTTCAAGCTTTTTAGATGGAAGTCAAATATATGGTTTTTATATTTTTTTTATTAATTAAAAAAATTTTTTTATAATTTTCTTCGAGAGGAGAAAATTTTCAAGAAAATTTTGTGGTGATTCAAAGAATTTTTCGATCAAAAATTTTTTTGAATATTTTTGATATTATGTGGAAAATTAATTTTTTTACTTTAAAGGATCTTCTTATGAAATATTGGAACGTCTTAGGGCACCAGGAGAATCTGGCCGATTATTAATTTCTAATAACGAAAATAATTTGTTGACATTGGTATTTTTTGAGAATTTTTTACAAGAAAATTTTTTTCTTCTAGGATCCTTTAAGCAGCGATTATTGCCAATCTCCCGACAAACAAAAACAACGTTGTTTCTTGAGTGGAACTCCGGATGTAAATTTACTTGCTGGTATTACTCTGTTACACACTATTTGGGTTAGACAACACAATAAATTGGCTGATGGACTTAGAGTTTTGTGGAATTTTTTATTTAAAAAATTTTTTTTCCCATAAAAATTTTGAATTTTTTTTAAAATTCGAAAAAAAATTTTTCAATTTTTCTAGTAATTTTTGGAAATCTTCTTTAACTTTTTCCAATTTAAAAAATATTTTTATTTTTTCATAAAGGAAATGAATAGGCATTGGAATGGTGATAGAATATTTAATGAAGCTAGACGAATTGTAATTGGTATAAATTTATTTTAAAAAATATTTTTTTTTAATTTTCAATTTTGTAGCTCAAATGCAACATATTACTTATGCAGAATTTTTGCCAATATTATTGGGAATAGATGCTGTCAGGTTATTTGGATTTATTTTTTAAATTAAAAATTTTTTTTGATTTTTTTAAATTTTTTTCAAAATTTAAAAAATTTTGAAAAAAAAATTATTTTTTTTTTTCAAGAAAATTTCAACTTAATTTAACACCTCCTGGCTCATTTAGCAGTGATTATGATATTGATGTAGATGCAACAACATTAAATGAATTTGCAACAATTGTAATACCTGTCGCCTTTTCATTACTTCAATCTATTAATAATTCATCCACAACAACAACAACAAATTTATTTAATAATCCTTCTCGTCTATATGAACAACAAGGAGTTGAGCAACTTGTTAGGTAAACATGTTTTTAATTCTGATTTTTGTGTTTAAATGTTTTGCAAAAGTGTTTGTGTGTTGAGTTTGAGTTGTTTTTACTAAATTCTGGTTTTGTTGTTTTTATTAAATTCTGATTTTGTTGTTTTTGCTAAATTCTGATTTTGTTGTTTTTACTAAATTCTGATTTTGTTGTTTTTACTAAATTTTGATGTTTAAAACTTTGTTTTACTAATGAGGTTTTTATGTTTTCATTCAATTCTGATTTCATTGTTTTTATTAAATTCTGATGTTTTTAAAACATTTGTTTTACTGAAAATGTTTTAATGTTTTTAAGATATTCTGATTTTGAGATGTTTTTATTAAATTCTGATTTTGTTTGTATTCTGTTTGTTCCAATTTAATTCTGTTTTGAACGTGTTTTGTAAAATTTTGATTTATTTCAAGTGTTTTGCAAATATGTTTTGTTCTTAAGTTGTTCTGATTTTAATGTTTTGAGTTTATATTAAAATGATTTGACAAAAACAAAGTTGTTGTTGTTTTCTGACTGTGTTTTATTTTTACCAAGAGAAAGTTTTGATTTTTTTTGATGTTTTAGTTGTTGTTGTCGTCATTTTTCAGTTGTTCTGGTTTTATTGTTTTCGGAACAAATTTATTATCTTTATTTAAAATTTAAGTGAATTGCATAGTCGACAAGCTGAACGTCCCGGCCTTAAAATTGATTTAAACTTTCGTGGCCATTTTCTTCAATCAAACACTGCTAATGTTGGATTAGACTTGATATCTATTGCTCTTAAACAAGAACGGGATCATGGCCTTCCAAGTTATAATTTAATGAGGGTTAATTGTGGACTTGAAAAGTTACAATCATTTGGAGAAATGCGTTTAATATTAATTAATGAATCTGTAGCTGATCAATTGGCTACAATTTATGAACATGTTGATGGTTGGGTATTTGATAATTTTTTAAATTTAATTTTAAAGGAGTCATGAATTCTCAATTTTACAGGGCCCATTTTTCATTTATTCCTTCCTCGTTTTTCCTTTTTCATCTAGGCATTTACCATATTTTCCAAAAATTTCCAGCATAATTCAGAAATATGAGGGAGTGTAGTTAAATGACTCATACATACACAGGATTTCTATAAAAAAGTTCAAGTGCCCCTCGAGTCGTGCACTGACACTAGACCTCAATACATGCATTAACTAGAGGAAGGAATTAAAAAGTAAAATCAGAGGTAAGATTAAGGAAAAATTGGGGAAGAATAAATTAAAATTGTAGCACCCAGAGAATTTTTTTTCAAATTAAAAAAAATTTTTGTAATAATATTTTATAGATATTGACTTACTTGTTGGTGTATTAGCTGAACGTCCATTAAAAGGAGCATTTTTAAGTCAAACATTAAGTTGTATTATTGGACGTCAATTTCAACGAGTAAACAAAAATAATTTTTTTTTAATTTTTAATATTGAAGTTTTTTAGACAAAAATTGGTGATCGTTATTGGTATGAAAACTTTTTTGCTCCATCAGCATTTAGTGAAGAACAATTGGCACAAATTAAGAAAACTACTTGGGCTAGAGTGGTAAGAAAAAAAAATTTTTTTTTTGAAAATTAATTTTAATATTATTTTTAAAGCTTTGTAATGTAACAAACATTAAACAAATTCAACTTTCATCATTTTTACATTCTGATATTTTTGAGTTTGTTTTATTACTTTTTTTTTATTGAAAAATAATTTTTACTAAAAAATTGGCATGGGATAGATAGATCCCGTATGGATTTTAAGGGATATCGTCCCAGAATCCAAAGTTTTAAGCTATGAACTGGAGCTTTATTTATCCCTGAAATGTGTGTGTGTGATCGTGAGAGTCTTGAAAACTCAATCCACTCAATCTCATTTTTGGGGATCATGAGAATATCAGGATTGAATTGTATTCACGAAATCCGAAAGCTTTTTTCCGATGATAATTTTTAAAACTCGATTCGACTTTTTTCCCTACCTAATCTATCCTTGTCTGATGAGAATGGGGGATTTGGGCTATCTATAATATTTCTACTCATATTTTTTAAGAAATACTCCTTTACCCTGTGAATCATCAATTCTTCCAAATTTTGATTTGGAACCTTGGCGTGATCCAGAATCACCGTTACGTTTACCTATAACTGATGAAACTATTAAAAAAGTTGTACAATTGGCAGAATTAAATTTACAGGAACAAAGACGTAGAGAAGCTAGAAATATACAAAAAAGTAACGGGGTTTTTTTAATTTTTAAAATTTTGAAATTAAAGTTGGGAGAATCTTTTTTAGGTTCCATAATATCACTCAAAAATGGATTTTTCTCTCACCAACCCAAAAAAAATTTTTTTAGTAAATGTGGAGGGAAAAGGGTGTCCTATGTAGATTTTCGTATGGCTCTCGGGGTTTTTCAAAAAAATTTCGGTTTATTGGTCGGGTATTTTTATGTACTCTCACGAAAATGTTACACAATATGCATTAATCATAATTTAAAAAAATTTTTGTTCTTTTTATAGATCAATCAACTCTACGTTTTGGTGATCCTCTGTTTGCTTATTCTAATGTATTTTTTTTTATTTAAAAAAAAATAAAAAAATTTTTTTTAAGATGATGCGTGCTAAACCACATTCAAAAGCACATGCACGTGTTTCAGCTATTTTGCTTGAATCAACTCGAATATTTGCTAGCGGGTAGAAACATAAATAAATAAATTATTTAAATATGATCAAATAATATAAAAATTCGATTAAATATAACAAAAAAAATTTTTTTATAAAATTTTTTTTCCAGTCAAAAATTGGTAGATGGTGAACAATTACCTTCCCTTGATATTGGTAAAATTCGGAAAAGAAATTAATTTTTTATTAAAAAAAAATAAAATTTAAAGATTCACTTCAACGTTTATTACCAAATATTGAAGTTGGTCGTTTTGTTTCAAATTATACAGCTTTTCTAAGTGAAGATGGACAAGCTACTAAAGACGATTGTTTACCTAGATTATTGCCTTGTGATCATTCAAGTCGTTATCGAACATTTTCTGGGTGGTGTAATAATCTTAAGTAAGTGTTTGAAAAGAAAATAAACTTTTTTGTGAAACAATTACAATTTGTAAAAACAAGTTGTAAAAACATTTTGGGATGTAATTTATAAAACTTTGTTTTCACAAAAAAAAACAAAGTTTTAATAAAAGTTTTAATACAAATTGTAAAATGTCTGTTTTGTAAATCTAGTTGCAAAACAAGTTGTAAAACAAGTTTTAAGATCTTTTATTAAAACTTTGTTTTTAAACAAAGTTTCAATAAAAATTGTAAAATGTTTTTATTGTAGCAAAAACAAGTTGATAAATTCTGAATTGTAAAATTAATTTAAAATGTTTTTTTTATTAAAGATATCCACACTATGGAAATGCCTTTACACCTTTACGACATTTACTCCATCCTGCTTATGATGACGGTTTTGATGCTCCAAGAAGTCGTGCTAGAAGTGGTCGTCCATTACCTTCACCTAGACGTATATCTAATGCTGTTCATATTGATAGAGAAATTGTACATGCAAAATTTACACATATGGCAAGTTTTTAAAACTTTTTTTACAATTTGTAAAACGTGTTTTCAATTTAAGTTTTATTGAAATTAAATAAAACATGTTTTACAATTTCCAAGTTTAATTTTTACAATTTGTAAAGTTTATTTAAAGCATCTTTTACAATTCATGCTTTAATTTTTTACAAATTGTAAAATAAGTTTTAAAATAATATAAATATTTTACAATTTGTAAAAATTATTTAAAACAAGTTTTACAATTTCCGAGCTCATTTCTACAATTTGTAAAGTTTACTTAAAACTTTTATAATTCAAGCTTTTATTTTTTTACAAATTGTAAAATAGGTTTTATTTAAAATAATATATAACAATAAGTATTTTACAATTTCTAAACTTTGTTTTACAATAAAAGTTTATTTTTTACAATTTGTAAAATGGCCAATTACTCGATCATGAAATGACACACTCCCCAATAAATAGAGGCCCAAATGATGAAATTCTAAATTGTACACCTTGTGATTCTGCACAAACAATTTCTGTTCATTGCATGCCTATAAGAGTAGAGGATGGTGATCCGCATTTTCCCAGTCATTTACCCAATGGTGAGCCTCGTTGTTTACCTTTTGCTCGCTCACTTCTTGGACAACTTGAGCTTGGATATAGAAATCAAATGAATCAAATAAGTGCATTTATTGATGGTTCTGTTGTTTATGGTTCTACACGGTGAACTTTATTTAAAATTTTGAAAAATTTACAATTCGTAAGAAATAAACAGAACATTTTACAAATTGTAAAAAAACACAAATTGTATTTTACAATTTGTAAAAAGATAAAACTTATTTACAAATTTGTAAAAAGATAAAACTTATTTACAAATTGTAGAAAATAAAATCTGAATTGTAAAAGTCAAGTTTAAAGTTTATTTTCTATTTAGTTGTGAATCCAATCAATTGAGGCTGTTTAGACGTGGATTGCTCAATTTTACTGATTTTGGTACTTGGAATCCTATGGCATTGCCACAAGGGTCTCAGGTAATCTTTTAAATTTTAATTTTGTTTAAAAAAATTTTTTTCTTCAAAGGAAAAAGATTGTCGTTCATTACCAAATTTCCCTTGTTTTGTTGCTGGTGATGAACGTAATAGTCATCAACCTGGTTTAACAGCAATGCATACAATAATGTTAAGAGAACATAATCGAATTGCTGAGAAGTTAGCAAAATTAAATTTACATTGGGATGATGAAAAAATTTTTCAAGTAATTTTAAAAAAATAAAATATTTTTGAAATTTTTTGTTTCAAGGAAACGAGAAGGATTTTTATTGCACAAGAACAACATGTTGTTTTTAATGAATTTTTACCTAAAGTGATTGGGTTTGATTTGTTACATGAATATGACTTGGTTTATAATTTTTTATTTTAAATTATTAATTAAAAAATTTTTTAATTTTAAAGGTACCTTTAAAAACGGGCTATTACACTCGTTATGATGAAACTTGTGATCCCGTAAGTTTTAAGTTTACAAACATTTTGTAATTGTTTCATGTTTTTGTAAATGTTTGAATATTTTCTTTGATGTTTTTCTGGTTTGTTTTATTCAATGTTTTTCTTAAATACATGTTTTAAACAATGTTTTGTTTTTAAGTTTGTTTGTCAATGTTTTGTTTGTTTCTTGTTTTATTCAATGTTTTCGTTTGTTTGTTCAATGTTTTTTGTTTAATAATGTTTTTTTATTTTGTCTTTCGCATGTTTTGTTTGTGCTTTATTAATGTTTTATTCAATGTTTTGTTTGATGTTTTGTTTAATGTTTTGTTTGCTATTTTGTTCAATGTTTTGTTTAATAATGTTTTTTCATTTTGTTTGGTTGCATGTTTTATTATTGCTTTATTAATGTTTTTCAATGTTTCTTATGTTTTGTTTAATGTTTTGTTGGATGTTTTGTTTAATGTTTTGTTGGATGTTTTGTTTAATGTTTTGTTGCAAATTTTTTGTTTTTACCTATTAATGTTTAATGTTTTGTTGTTTTAATTTATATAGAATTTTTTCCACAAACATTTATTTTCAGGCAATTTCTCACCCATTTGCTACAGCAGCTTTTCGTTTTGGTCATACTTTGATTCGTCGAATGTTTCCACGTTTAGATACAAATTTCCACAAAATGAGTGAACCTGTTGATTTGGCAAAACATTTTGGATTTGTTGAGCCTCTTTATAATAAAATTAGTGGAGGTTTGGGTTAAAAAAATTTTTTGAAATTTTTGGAAATTTTTTTGAAAAATTTCCTTGTTGAAATTTTTCAAAATTCAAAAATTAAAAATTTTCTTCAAAAAAAAAGGACTCGATTCAATGCTTCTCGGTTTATTTGGCACCCCAGCAATGGCTTTTGATAGACACATTACAAATGCAGTAAGAGACATGTTGTTTGCTAGGCGTGATGAACCTACTTCTGGAATGGATTTGGTTTATATTTAATTTATTTTATTTTTAATTTAATTTTTCAAGATTGCTATAAACATGTTAAGGGCCCGAGATCATGGTGTTCAACCATACAACAAATTTAGGTGTTTTTTAAATTTTTTTTGAATTAATTTTTAAAAAAATACTGAAGGTCAAGAGGAATTTAGAAAAAATTTTTTCGTGAAAATTTTCTTGGAAAATTAAAAAATTTTTTCAACAATTAAAAATATTTATTTTCTAAAGACCTCTTTGTGGACTTCCACTTGCTCAATCCTTTGAAGATTTACGTGATGTAATGGACGAAACAGCAATTTCTGCTCTTCGTTCAGTTTATGAACATGTTGATGATATTGATTTATTTCCTGGATTAACAAGTGAAAGGCCTAGACAAGGAGCTTTGGTTTGTGTTTTAAATTTAATTTATTTTCCCAAAAATATTCTGCAAGTTATACTTATACATTCGGAATTACCTCACTATTTACAACTTTACAAACGTTTTTTTTAATTTTAAAAGGAATAAATTAATTTTTAAAAATTAATTTATTTTTCAGTTAGGCCATACAATGTCATGCCTTTTAGCAGAACAATTTAGACGTTTAAAAAAATGTGATCGATTTTATTATGAAAATGATAATTTTGCTGCTAAGTTTACGCCTGGTAAATTAAAAAAAAATAAAAAATATTTTTAATTTCCTAGCCCAACTTTCACAAATTCGTAAAATTCGTCTTGGCAAAATTTTGTGTCAAAATTCACCAATTATACAAAAAATACAGCCAAATGTATTTGATATACAAGATGATTTAATTAATGCGCCTGTTAATTGTAATGATTTGGAAGAAATTGAACTTGAAGCTTGGAAAGAAAAATGTTTGTAAAGTTTAAATAAACATTTTGAAAAGTTTTACAATTTTACAAATTCAAGTTTATTTTTTTTTAATATTGCAGCATATTGTGAAATTAATGGGTTGAAAATTGAACAAGGAGAAAATAGGTGTGTTTATTTTATTTTTACAAATTGTAATATTCAAGTTTATTTAAAATAAGTTTATTTTTGTATTTATTTATTTTTACAATCCAAGTTTATTTTTTACAAACTTAATTAGAATAGGTTTTACAATTTTTACAATTGTAATATTCAAGTTTATTCAAAATAAGTTTATTTTTGTATTTTTACAATTTTACAATCCAAGTTTGTTTTTAGTAAACTTAATTAGGATAGGTTTACATTTTATTTTTACAATCTTACAATTCAAGTTTTATTTCTCTAATATTAGTCAGAATAAGTTTATTTTTGAGTTTTTACAATTATTAAGTTTTGTAAAAACTTTTTACAATTATTCTATTTTATATTTTTAAAGGAGAACAACACCTTGTGTGACGTGTACCTGCACAGCTGAAGGGGTAAAAATTTTTTTTGATTTTTTTAAAATTAAGAAAAAAAATATTTTAAAGCCTGAATGTCAACCTGTCCAAATGGATAGCTTTGAATGTTCACAGCTTTTTAATAAATATGATAAAAAATCAATTTTAAAGGTTTTTTAATATTTTTGTTAAAAAATTTTTTAAATTATTTAAAGGATGCTACTTGTGCAATTCAATGTGCACAAGAGCTTTCAGTAGTAGATTCAGCAGAAAGTAAAGAGGATCTTTAAAAAATATTTTAGTCAAAATTAGAAATTTTTTTAGTTTTTTTAATTTATTGTACAAAATTGTTGTTTAAATTATTTTTTAGTTTAGAGAAAAAGTTTTACAATTATTTTTACAATTTGTAATTCTATGAACTAAGTTTTTAAATGTTTTTACAAATGTTTTTGATAAGTTTTAAGTTTTTCTGATTCCAATGTTTTTATTAAATTCTGATTTTTGGTTGTTTGAAAAGTTGTTCTGATTTCGATGTTTTGTAGAAATTCTGATTTTTGTTTGTTAGTTGTTTGAATGTTTTAAAGTTGTTCTGTTTTTGTTTTTTGGAAATTCTGATTTTTAAAAATTGTTTTTGTGTGTTTTAATGTTTTTAGTTTATTCTGATTCTAATGTTTTTATTAAATTCTGATTTTTGTTTTTATTTGTTGTGTGTTTTAAAGTTGTTCTGATTTTGTTTTATGGAAATTCTGATTTTTATAAATTGTTTTTGTGTTTTAATGTTTTTAGATTGTTCTGATTTTGATGTTTTTATTAAGTTCTGATTTTTTATTGAAACACAGTAAACCAACGGAAGAGTGAGAGAGTCTGACAGACAGTTGGAGAGGTTTTGGATAAATTGTCATTTAATTTAAAAACAAGACATTTTGCCAAATATTTTTTGTAACATTAATTTTTTTTATTTTATTTTTTTATACTTTATTTTTCTAACCAAAGTCCGCCAAGATTTGCTTCATTTTTTTATTTTCTTAAATAATAACCCACTTATTTTTAATTATATTGTTTTTCAGCCATAAAAATTACTATTCTTTATTTTTTTATTTTAAATAAATGCCGCGTCCATTAAATTCTTTTTATTTTTTCCAAACTTCTTTGATGCCTTTTTAAGTTTCCATTTATTATTAACCCTCCTCACACATTTTTTTTTCTTCCTTTTCCCACTCATTACGTAATTGATTATTTAATTATGTGATGGTCAGTTAATTTTTTTTGTTTGTTTGGCTATTAATAAGTGCCCTATATTCTTGGTACTTTTTAGAGGTCGGTAAAATCGCATTCACGGGATGCCGTAACTGGATTTTTTTCAAAAAATTTTACGGGACAGGATCCCGCGGGATTAGTCCCGTAAATTCCGATAATCCCGCTCGTTGCTTAAAATACGGGATTTCGGGACAGGATCCCATAAAATCCCGTTCGGGATCCTGTCCCGTGCTGACCTCTAGTACTTTTATTAAAAATCTTTTTATTCTTCCTAACCTTTTTTTTCTTTTATTTTGTTTTAAACTTTTCTCTCTAATAAATTTTATTTTTAAGAAAATTTTTTAAGAATTTTTCCAAAATTTCTTCAGTTTCTTCAAATTTTCTTGTCTCATCGTTAAAATTTTTTTACTTCTTAAACAATATTCATTTCAACAACAATTCAATTTAATTTTTAATTGTTTAAAACAATTTGTGTGTTTGTATGTTCAACACCTGCTTGTAGAAGTAGTCTTTTCAGGACAATGGTTAGAGGCTGGTTTATTTTTTAACAAAATTTTAGGTCCTATCTGAAAACAAGGGCCCTTTGGTTTTTTCCAACATTTTTTTTCTTCGCTAAAATCGTCAATTTATGACAATGGTAGACCTTTTCTTCATCGTTGAATTACAACTCTTGTTTTCAGATAGGGCCGAATTTCATTTTGTGAAACGAAATGCGTTCGTGAATCTCGTTTCTAGATACACCCTTAGATTGTTTAAATTGCTCTTTTATACTGTCCTTATAAGGGTTAACGTGGTTATTCTTGCTTATATGGTTCTTCTCATACAGTGACAAACTAAATTTTTTAAATCTTGGGGGTATATAAAAACCGAGGTGTCCGCGATTTTTCAATAAATTTTTGCGTGTAAAAAAATTTTTTCTTTGAATTTTTTAAGTTTGTGTTTTTTTGGTCGGATATAAGTTCATTAATATTGTCCCATTAATATTTTTCAATTTTTATTTTTTTTTAATTTTATTTTTTTTCAATTTTTATTTTTTTCAATTTTAACAATTTCACAAAAACGACATAAAATGATAATAATTATGACATCTTTATTTTAATTTTTCTTCTTATTTTTCTTAGTTTTTAAAGTGCCGTCACTTCCCTTATAAAGTAAATTGACCCTCCTCCCTCCCTTCTTAATTTTAACCGGGCTCATTAATTTTTTATAATTTTTTTCCTTTTGAAAATTTTTTTATATATTTCTCTCGACTATAAGAAAATTGTAATTTATACAGATGTTGCTTAAATCTGTTAGAAAATTTTATTTTTTCTTTTAATTTTTCCTTTAATTTTTTCTTTTAATTATTAAACAATTAAAAGAAGCCGCGCTTAAAATTCTTTTTTATTTTTTTTTAAATTTCTATCTGGTGGCATTTGGTGTGAATTATAAAATTATTCAAAAAAGAATAATTTAAAATTTTATTTTTATTTAATTCCTTTTGATTTTTTTGATTTTTTGAGGTCATTTATTTCTCCTGGGAGGCCTCTTCCATGGAAGGGGATACTTTTTTTTTTAAATTTTTTCGGTAAATTTTATTTACAATAATTTTTATTTTTGATTTTTATAGATAGACTGACTTTCTTAATTTTCTATTTTTACTTTAAAATTCATTAAAAATTTTCTTTTTTTCTCTAACTTCTCTTGTGTCTCTCTTCGTTTCCCTTACTCTCATCCTAAATTTAAATTGTGATTTTTTTGATTTTTGAAAATTGATAAACTGACTTTTTTAATTTTCTAAATTCATTAAAATTTTTTTTTCTTTTTTTCTCTAGCCTCTTTGTTGTCTCTCTTATTTTTCTAGTACTCTCTTATCTACACCTATACACCTAATTTTTTTTATTTTTTATTAAATAATCAAAATTCTAAAATAAATAAAATTTTGTCTCGTCTTGTAAAAAAATAATAATTTTATTAAATTATTATTTATTTTAAGTTATCAGAGGTGTGTTAGTAACATGTACACACTTACACCAAATTTTATTTTTTGCCTTTTTTTATTGTTAAAAAAAATTTTTTTTTGTTATTTTTCTCGTCCAAAATGTAGGTATTCCTTAATATTTTTTGTGTATTTGTACTGATAAACTTTTGTTGCGAAAAAATTTTTTTTTATATAATTCATGCAAAATAAGGAGGAACGCGAGTATGGGGGGAAGGGAAAGGGGGTAGGGGGGGCTAAGGGGGAAGGGGGAAGGAACGGCTGTCGGGTAAAAATTATATATAAAAATTTTTTTCGTTCCTTTTTCCATTTTTTTTTCATAAAATAAGGGGAAAAAATTTAATTTTATAATTTATGTAAAAAAGGGGTAGCAAGCAGTTCATTACGGAAGCTGGCATGAATAACTAACTTCATGACACGAACAATTAACTTTTTATAAATCAAAGCTTAAGGTACTATAATAATTTTTTTATAAATCAGTATATTTATTTTTTGTTTAAAATTAAATTTTTATTTTTTTATTCAAAATTTTTTATTCTTTTTTAAAATTTATTTTCATTTATTTTCACTCATTTACTTCTTAATTAAACTTGAAACTTTATTGTTGCTATATAGGGTTGGGGTTTTCGAGTCGAGCCGATGTTCGAGTCATTTTTTCGAGCCTGCCCGTCCGAATCTTTTTCAGCTTCATTTTTTCGGGCCAAAATTCGATGCCGACTTGATCTTTCGGACCCCCAACCCTATATCTATATGCTTTAATTTATTCTCCCGCTTGAATTTAATATTAGATGGTGCAGTGGTTAGTGATCTTGTATATGTTTGGGTGACTATTTTTAAGGTGCTGGGTGTTTTAAAAATTGTTTTTGTTTATCTTTTTTTAAAATTATTCTTAGCTGCTAAGGGTTTAAAATATTTTTTGGAATATTTTTAACATTTTGTAATTTTTTTTATTTGTCTTAAGAAAAATTTTTTCCCCTTTTCGCGCAACTTTCTAGTACAATAAACATGAATAGAAAAAAATTAAAGTAAACACAAAAAAAAAGAATATATTTAATGAATATCCACAAAAAAGGAAAAGTTTCTGTTTGTTTTTCTTTCTTCTTTTGTTTTTTTATTCAAATTTTGTATTTAAAGTTTTGCGGGTATACAAGGTTATAAACGGATTATTTTGTGTTTGCCGGAAATTAAAAAAAAATTTTTTTTTTGGGAAATTTATTTTTTGAATAAAAAGAGAAAACAAACACAAAAATTTATTAAATACTGAAAGTGTGAGAAATTTTTATTTTTTAAAAATATGCCGATGCAAATCATGTATTGTAAGGAGATGAGTGAATTTGTAATTGTTTCAAGTTTATTTGCTTCAAGTTTTATTTTTAATGCTGATTTTTCAAACTTTTAATTCAAGTTTATTTTTTCCAACTTTTCTAAGTTTATTTTTTTTATTTTTATAATCTTAGGTTTATTTTAATTTCAAGTTTATTTTTCTAGTTTGCGTTTGCTTCAAGTTTTGTTTTTATATGCTTCAAGTTTATTTTTATTTTTAGGTTTATTTTACAAACTTGCTTCAAGTTTATTTTTTTAAGTTTGCGCTTCAAGTTTATTTATATCTTTTTATATTTTTTCGTCTTCCTTGATTATTTTCCACAATCTTGCAAAAATTATAAATTTAATTTTTTGCATTTTTTAAAATCTCTATTTATTATAAAAATATTTTTGCAACTCCTCAATTAAATTAATTATTTTATATATTTTTTCAATTCTTGATCAAAAAAATTTTTTCACCTTGGAAATTTTTATTTTTTTCCCTCTACAATTTTGAAGGATTTTTTCTTTTCAGTCTACTTGTCAAAAATTATTTTTAAAAATTTTATTTTTATTAAATTTATTAATTTTTCCTCAAAAATTGTTCCTTAGTTGCCATTCATAAATTCTCCTCCCCCAAAAAATCACCACTAAATACAAGTGGTGATCTTTTGGGTTGGGTTGTTTTTCTTCTCACTCATCGTGATTTTTCCCTTTTTTCACGCATTTTTGTTTTAAAATAAATATTTATTTAAGGAAATATTTTTAATGAGTTAAAGAACGGTTAGATGGAGGGGAGGGAATGTATAAAAATAAGGATAGAAAATTTATTTTTAAAAAAAGAGAAGGGGGTTCTCTATTTTTACTCACACATACAAGGCCATCTGATAAAACCTCCGAAAATTGATGATTGCTTTTTTTTAATATATTTATTTTAAATATAAATATAAAAATAACATTTACTTGCAAATAATACAAGAGAATCATTAAAAAAAGTTGATCTTCATCTTTTTCACTTTTTTTTCTCTAACCTCTTTTAATATAATATTTATAAACTTGTAGCAAAATTTTTGTTTAATAAATAAACTTGAAACTTTTACAATTGTAAATAAATTTATTTTAAAGTTTATTTTTAAGTTTTTAATTTTATTCAAGTTGAATTTTTTAAAGTTTATTTTTCATGTTTTTGTTTCAAGTTTATTTATCTCAAGTTTATTTATTCTAAGTTTTTAAGTTTGATTTTCAAGTTTAATTTTTCAAGTTTGTTTTAATATGTACTTATGTGTTTAAGTTTGTTTATAATTGTTTTTGCTTGTTTGTCTTTGTTTGTTTGTTTGCTTGTTTGTTTGTTTCAAGTTTGTTTTACAATACTTGTTTGTTTTAATTATTTCTTCAACATGCTTCGAGTTTATTTTTATAATCTGATTTATGTTCCTTTCACTTTTGTAAGATTCATCAGAGATAATATTTTAACAAAACTTGTTTTTTTTGTTTGGCACATGCGACTATTTATTTAATGGCTTGAT